GCTCGTTGTCCCTTCCGTTGGCGGTCGGTATGATGCCAGTCAGTGATAACGATTGACTGAGTTGTTCGTAGAGCCTGTCCGCTAATGGCTGGACTTCCGCCGATGTTCTGGTGAATCCGGATCCTGGCCTTGCACTGTTCAGGATCTCGCAAGCTCTGCTCCTGGCAAAATCTTCGAGCAGTGCATTGAGAAGGTTTGTCCGGTGCTGGTCGACGTTGGATAAGGTATTTGTCTGAACATCCACCTCATCTGCGAAGGAGATACTGCCATGACTGGACAGTGATTCAGTGATAATGGTCTGGCCTTCCTCAATGCTTTCGATGACTTGATGTGATGGGGCCTCATCCTCCCCTGACCTATCGCTGTCAGAGCTGGAGCTATCGTCGGTAGGTCTGCGGAAAAAGGCAGAACTCATCCCTTTGATCAGAACCAATCGACCTCCCTGTTAGCAGTTGATCAAGGACAATGATCATGGCACGAAGGTGAAGCAATGCTGAAGGGATTTGGAGATGGTGGGCTTTGTGTGAAGAGACAGACGGCCGTAGATGATCGTAAGAGTTTGCCCAGTCGTCTATACTACACCGTTGATACGACCGTGTTGTAGCCTTACACGCTATGCAGGATACTGGACACCTTGTCGGCAGCCATGCATGGCTTGGCGAAGCGTGCCACGCGATTCGATGCCGTTCGGTCTCGATTGGGAAAACCGAAGGGCGTGCGCACTTTGACAATGTCGATAAGGCAGGCACCAAGAGTGAGAAGTGGTTCAGCCTCGATCTACACCAACTTGCATATGAGAGATAAATTGTACGAATGGAAGACTAAGAAGGCCTTGGATGCTCTAGCCACTTGGTAAATGAGTCGGAGAGCACGGGAGAAAGTTATTAACCATGCGCGCTAGTTATTAGTGGTGCTAGTTGATGTCGTATGATATCATACACAGCACGTGAGAGACAGTTTAGTGGACGAGGCTGTACGAAAGTCCTTGGAGACAACTTATAGACAACTTATTCGATCAACGCATTAAGCCTTTCATCGTCAAAGCAAAATCAGTGCTGCCCGTGGTATCATTGTTCCTCTGTTCGAATGCCTGCATCATTCCTCATCGTTTACGTCGAGGTCTTCAAAGTCATCCAGGAGTTCCTCCATATTGATCTGAGGCACCTCATCCTCACTGGTCTCCCCAGTCATCATGCTCATCTCGTCTGCATCCTTCTTCTTCTGATGCTTCGCTTTGTACAACGCTAATGTTTGTCTGAGCTCCACATCTTCCTCCACATCTCGCAAGAACATTTCATAGTCGGCATCCATCCTATCCTGGTCGGCCTTCTTCGGCAATAGGTCGCCCTCATCTTTGGCCATTCGCTTGAGCCTCCAGTTCCTGCTTTTGGGCTTCTTCTTTCTTGCGTAGAATTTCTTGACCAGCATCACATCTGGAATGGTCGACGAATAGTTGTGACTTTGCTCCAACTCTTCAAACTGCGGATTGTTGAAGTTCGTTCCCGTCAAGTGATAACCAAGCACCGAGTCCCCAGCATGCAAAACTCCACCGAGATGTGTTCTGCAGTAGTAGGTTTTGTCGTTGACACCGAGATCTGAAGCTCTTGCTACCGTGGCTTCTGCCCCAAAAAAGCGACCATTTTGGGTGCCTAGCGGTTCGATGTCAAGTACAACAAATTCCACGAGTTCCTGCACATCTGCAAGGCTTTTGAAAGGCGCTCGCCAGTACGTCGACGTCGGCATGTCTGTTGTCTGTAGTGTAGTCGGATCCAATAGGTTGATTGACGTGCCCACTCGGTAACAAAGGGTCAAAGGTGCAATATTGCCGATGGACTTGGCCATCTTGATGGGTAAAGCAACTAGATCGTCTTTACATATCGGTAATAGTTCGCATGAGTATGTGAATTTGTATGATTTCGTCGAGGTATGGATATCCATGGAAATAAGTTCCTGAGATTTCTTGACTTTGATCGGTGTCGTGGAGGTGAGGAAGTCGACAAACTTTTCTGCATGATTCCGTTGAGAGAAATAGAAATCGAGCCCGTCCTTGACCTCCTTGATGTTGATCGTGTCCTTGTGCGCTTGGTGTTTGAGAACCAGCTGCTCAAGGTACAAAAAGGTTCGTTTATGAGGCACCTTCTGTCGAACTTGGACTGAGGCTCGCCAAACATTGGGTGTATATGATTTCGCGCATTCGGGGCATTGTTGAAAGGCAACCACATACTCCACCTCGAAAGTCTGTTGCAGGATCGTTCCTTCATATGCCTCTTGTTGAACCGTGATCTTTACCTTGATCCGCCTAGAATGGGGTTCCGTCCAGAGGAAATTAGCATCGATGATTCGAACTTTGTTAAGACCCCGGAGTTTCCGCAGACAAAGAGCAAGCAACTCTCTACTCTCTGGAGCTGCCGAAACCCACTGTGAAGGTGGGCTTAGCCATCTTTCACAATCTCGGCAAGTGTGAAGTACACCTTCTCTCTGAATGCCTTCCGATACGTCGATCGTGAGTTTGATACAGTCATAACATAGAGCACCTGCAGACGCAGTCCCATCGATGGGAGCGCCACAGTTACAGCAGAGAATTGTCGCCGCTTGCGGCTTGTTCACTGAAGGCAGTGCGACTGGAGCATCAAGGTCCATCGACATCGTGAAGCCCCTGAATGTTGTCTGGGTACACCGTTGACACAAAATCACAGCCAAGAGAACGAGAGTGGTAAAGAGGGAGGAACAGAGAAGAAAAGGCTGAAGAATGAGAAAAAGTGACTGTCTATTATTCAGAATTCGCCTCCCGCTGGTTGAGCCCGATCGCCGCCAAGAAAATATTCTTGCCACAGCCTTACACGTGACAATCTTCGCTCTACCTTCACTTTTGAGACATCAGGCTGAAAGCTGGGTATGGGAGGAAAGCCTCGGAGGGACGGACAAATCGCCGAGGTTCGTCCTTCGCAGTCCATTACTCAACAAACGGAATTCCCTTGCCCATCTGTGTTCAATGTAATTCTCGTTGTCGCTTTTCGTCGACATGAAAGCCTGTTGTGGGAGATACACAGCCTATCTTGTGGCACCCAGCGCTATTGCCAGAACAACGGCGTTTGCAGCAAGATCCAGAGCCCCATTTTCTCCATTGGCACTGGGCCGTCGAACGGTAGGGTCTGATCAGTAGAAGACAGTCCATTTGAGCTCACAGGCAATGCAGATGTCTTCCACGGCCTTTAAGTACGGCGGATTGCCGAAAGAACTTCCCACAGATGATCCTGACGACGTCCTGTTCAACTCTCTTTACGGCGTGCGAACCATTGAGTTGAATCGACCCAAGAAGCTCAACTCCCTCAACGGCTCAATGGCGAGGAAAATACTCCCTCGACTTCGGGAGTGGGAAAAATCGCAGATGGCCAACGTCGTTTTGATAAGCGGTGCTGGCCCGAAAGCTTTCTGCGCAGGCGGTGATGTTGCAGAACTGGCGTCACAGAATAAACAGGGACCAGAAGGTCAAAAGAAATCTTCGGATTACTTTGCTCTTGAATACAAACTGGACCATCTGATTGCCACATACAGCAAGCCATACATAGCGATCATGGATGGCATAACAATGGGCGGCGGTGTCGGTCTTTCGGTCCATGCACCTTTCCGAATTGCGACTGAGAAGACCGTCTTTGCCATGCCCGAGACCACCATTGGATTCTTCCCTGATGTTGGTGGGAGTTTCTTCTTGTCTCGCCTGGATGGCGAGATTGGTACATACCTAGCCCTGACTTCTGAGCGACTCCATGGTGTGCAGGCCTTCTACGCTGGTATCGCGACGCATTACGTTGACAGCTCTGTCTTGGCACAATTGACAACTCGACTCTCCGAGCTGGTCTTTAAAGACTACGCTGATCTGAACGAACGACTGGAACTTATCAACTCCACGATCTCTGAGTTTTCAAGCTCGCTACCCTCACCTGATTCCTACGAAGCTGCCAAGTATGGGAACCTCACCGGCGCCCTACGAGAAGCTGTCGATCGGGTCTTCAAGTACAACACAGTAGAGGAGATCTTGGGCGCTCTCCAGAAGGAAGCAGAATCAGCAGACGAGAAGACCGCCGAGTGGGCGAAAGCAACCCAGAAGACCATTGCAATCCGATCACCCACGAGTCTGCGTGTCACGCTACGTCAGCTCCGAGAAGGAAAGCACTGGAACATCTCTGAGACCTTTATCAAAGAGCACAAAATGGCCAGCAGATTCATGGCACACCCCGACTTTGTGGAGGGTGTCTCTGCACGCCTGATCAACAAACCGCCCACGAAACCTGTATGGAATCCTGCCACGTTAGCAGAGGTCTCGACGGCCGACGTGGACGAATTCTTTGTCGCTCCTACGGAGCAGGAGGCTCTGCAGTTGGTGGAACCCTATGAAGGAGCACTTGATCAACACTACACAGACCACCCACATGCCAAATTTGCTTTGCCTCGGGAGTCGGATATTGAGGCTGTTGTCAAGGAGGTAGGCCAGGAAGGTTCGAAGAGGGTGATTGATGATGTGTTGAGACTGTGGAAGAACAAAGCTGGTGTGAGAGAGAAAGTCCAGGAAGTAATCGCACGGAAGACTGTCTCCAGTGACGGAAAAGCACTTCGCTGGAAGGGCGAGAGTGCTCGCCTATAGATACCGTACATAGAAGAGCTGATAGAAAATTTGTAGCAATATGAAGAAAATATCTCCCTCAAACCTATTCAGTATGGGGTATGGCTATTGGGACCGGCCACTCAGCCACTGCAAGCCACTCATTCATTATTGACCATCATTCCCGCCAGACTTTCTCCAACCAGAAATTTTTCTCCGCATTCTCATTCACCTCACCACTCACCATTTCAACTCTCACACATGTGAATGGCTTTCCCGCCTTTTTGGTCTCTTCTTCACAAGTACATTTCGCCAAAGAAAATAGCTGCCAAGAGAGAGGTCTTCTTCTTGTCCGTGCCTGCGATTCGACGAGTTTTGGTCGTTTTGACAGTCTGAGACCATGAGTTCCGAGCGGAGGAATACCTATCTCGACGCCGGATTCTCGGACGATTCCGACCAGGATGTAGGCTACGATTCCGAAGCGGCCGAAGTGTCAAAGGCCGGGAGGGCAAGTAAGAGGCGGAAAATCGAGCACGGAAGCACTGACGAGGAGGAAGAACTGGATGCGTACGATCTGAAGCGCAGACGAACCCCGGAGGAGAAGAAGAAAACGGTGAGCGGCCCCTCCGCGACGGCCCAGCCAGAGTTCGACGACCGTGACGATGTACATGAGAATGAGGAGGATGGCGAGGATGGCGAGGATGCCAAGCATGTTGAGAAGCAAGGTCGGGATGCAGAAGCGACCAACGCTACAGCAGAAAACCAAGAACTCCAGTCCGCGTCCGCGACAGGCGGGCCTACAAACCAGAAGAAACCCAAGAAATCCAAACACAAGGAGACAACTCCCGGCGTGGTGTACCTCTCATCCCTCCCCCCGTATCTCAAACCGTCTGCGCTGCGTAAGCTCTTGGAACAGCGCGGCTTCTCTCCAATCAAGCGGCTCTTCCTCTCCCCCGCGTCGAGGCACGCACACAACTCGAAAAAGAACTCGCGCCAACTCTACACGGAAGGCTGGATCGAGTTCTCGTCCAAGAAGGTTGCTCGAAGATGTGCTGAGACTCTGAATGCCACGACCGTGGGCGGGAAGAAGGGCGGCTATTACAGAGACGACCTGTGGAATATGAAGTACTTGAAAGGGATGGCGTGGGAGGAGTTGATGGCTGGCATCAGGGAGGAGAAGAGAGAGGAGGAGGGCAGAAGGGATGAAGAGAGGAGGACCATCGCCCAGGAGACGAAGCGCTTCATCGAGGGCGTGGAGGAAGGGAGGAGGGTCGAGGGAATCAAGAGAAAGAAGGCTGGCAGGAAAGGAGACCGCGAGGAGACGGGAAATTCTGGTGGAGGTGACAGTGCTGTGGATGTCAGGAGGACATGGAGGCAGACTGAGGTCAAGGGCAAGAAGAAGGGCCAGGACTCTGCTGTGCCCGAGAGGATAAGTGATGATGTGAAACAGGTATTGAACAGGATCTTCTAAACGCTTGCGCCACCTCAGAACTACCATCAAACCTCGAAGGACCGGCCCGCAAGATGTCTAACTTTAAGGCAAAAACACGTTCACATAATTCACATCATGTCATCTCTTCTTTGGGAGTCGAAGCGGATGCGCTTCCGTGTTCAAGACGAACTCGTCGAGACTCACAACGCTGGGATCCTCGAATAACAGCCAAAAGTACTTCAGCGTCTCCGCCATCCAGAAGCTTTCCATCTTGTCCGTCTGCCGTGGCTCCGCCTGCGTCACGTCCTCGATGCAAGAATACCCAAACTCTGTGCGCGTGTGCTTGCTGATGGCTTCGAACATTTCCCACGCACCTTCACGTAGGGTCTCCTCCCCAGTGATCCGGTAGAGGACAAAGATCGACTCGATCGCTTCGGGGCGCAGTTCGTAGGCACGGTCGGCGATGGCCGAGACTCCCTTGGGCAAGCGCAGCCGCTGAGACTTCGTGCGAAGGCGTTCGTCTTCCGGAAGCATTTTGTCCTGGGGACTCTCGTCCTGGGTGTTGAGCAGGAGCATGTGCTTGAACCAGGCCTTCTCATCCCATTTGCATAGAGTTTCGTCAGTTGGACACGATATGAGGTGAAACATCTCTGGCATGATGGCCGTCGCAGTCTGCTTGTACGCCCACATGCAGCCGCGGACCAATCTCATAGCCGTCTCCAGATCTTCAGGGGAATTGAAGAGCTTTGCTGCCAAAGCGAACATGCCTCCAGCGAAGCAGGCGAGGTGCTGAGTCTGAGGCGTCACCTCGGTGTGGCCCGGCCTGTAGGCCTTTAATGTACCTGCCATGAGAATGTCTTCGTTGGTAGGAGTCATAGGCTTGAAGAGAATGAACTCCTTTATGGGATCTTTGGCGATTTCATAGAGTCTCTTGTACTGCTGATTGGCGCCGCTGAGCAGCTGATATTCCTTGGGGAAATACTCGTAGACGGAATCAGCAGATGCGCCGATGGAGAAAGAAACCCCGTCACCGAACCAGCATTCTCTCGCATTGACGATGTGCGGGAAAAGGCCCGGTGCCCTTGTGTAGTTCTGCTGGCTCTCTAGGCAGTCCGAGATGCGCTGTACCGCGTCGTAATACTTGGGCTCTCCGGTCAGCTGCGTGAGCCTGGTAAACTCTAGACTCAATGTCCCGAGTTCAGCAACGAGCGTGTGGCCGGATGCACCTTCTACACCAATCTTTGACCACTTCGTGACCGGCATGTGGTTCGGAGTGTCGAAAGCACCGTACAGCATTTCACCAAGCTCTATGGCTTTGTCGAGCAATTCGGGATATCGTCCATTGCTCACGTCGTACGCACCGAGCAGCCCTCCCAGGTGCCGGATCGTTGTCTCGAAGACATTGATGGGCAGTTGGGTGGCAGTGTTGAAGTCAATGCCGACCACAGCATGGACTGCGGCCTCAAACTCGTCTTTCATGCCCATCAGCCAGAGCGTGTCTAAAGCATCTACCAGCGTCAAAGACCAATCCCCGAAAGACCTCCTATAACCTCCCGTGACTGGCGCCAGCTCATCTTGCAGCCACGCCCTCTCTCGATATCCTTTCCACGAGTGCACCATAGCCTCTTTGATAGCCTCTAGACGAGCCAGTCGAGACTCTCTAGCAAGCCCGTCCTCGGCCTTGAACTCATGTTGGATTTTGGGGAGAATTTGAACCCCTGTCGGAAGAGGAATAAAGCTGGCAATGGGGTTGATCAGATGTCCCTTCCCGGGCTTCAATGGGCGATGAGGATGGACTCCTTCAGTCCCAAACGATACCCTGGGCAGAGCGTCTAAGGCTGATCCACGAAGATGCAGGAGGAGGAAGAACAGAGTGCACGCAACAGCCACCACGAGCACCAGCCGTTGCCTGCGAACTGCCATCGCATGGTAGGCGCAACACGGTCCAATATCACTCGTACAGTGTCCCCACTAGGTCATACTGATAGGGGAGGTCTCCTTGTGTTCTCTTGCTTCTTGCCTCGTCAGAATATGTGCAGGTCCGGCCTTGTCATCAACTCTCTGATTGCGCTCTTTCGGCAGATTGAACTGGGGTCAAGAAGGATTTTGGGTCGTGGAGTCTTCATTTCAGGGCACCATGTCAGGGGTTAGACCCATTCAAGTTTAGAGGCAACGGGAAGCGAACGCCCACTTGTCTTGCCGGACCTTCGCCCGACGAGCCGTAGTTGGTGTCCTTGGACGAGAACTCTGCCTCTAAACAGCACTTCAATTCATTCCTCTCTTCATCACAAGACCTAGGCGAGACTGCATCTTCGAGTCCACGAATACGAACACCTCTAATTGCCCGAGGCTGGAAATAAATGTCTCTGTTTTCGTGGGCCACCCGTTGGCAAGACACCCTAGAATCTGGAACCCATTCGTCAACGAGCAGGCCCATTCAATCTCTCAGGCTGCGCTAAGGCAGGTACAGCCACAAGCAACGTACGCTGATCCTGCCCCGGATCGATGGGTCAGTGGCTATCGGCCGGCGGATATAGCGCCCCTTCTTGGTTCTTTCAGGCTTCAATTCTCCACCATGGTAGATGGCGGATAGCAGCCCCGGTCAATGTCTCGTTGGTTGCAAGGGCTAACCTTGAATATTTTGGATCTTGCGTCTGTCGTCGAGGTACATAATATTGTTGCTGGGTTGCACTTTTTATCCTCTTCTTCAACCTCGTCGTTCATGTCACTCGTTTAACCTCCATCAAAAGTCCCTTCGTTTGGCTGCTTCAGTAGCCATAGTCATTCGTTTGTTCTTTTGCTCGCATAATTCTATTCGGTTGCTCCTGGTTACAATAGTCCTCTTACACGGTTTCTCATTGAAGATGAAGACAAGTCAACTATTTGCTCTCACGGCTGCCGCCGTCACCGGAGCTGAGGCATACTACAAAGGATTCAATATCGGGGCCAATCTCGCCAATGGGGCCTGTCGGAGCGAGTCAGATTGGGAATTTGTCTTCAACAAGATCGCCAGCTTTCCGGGAAACTTCAAGAGCGCCCGGCTGTACGCTTCCAGCGATTGCAATACCCTAGCCAACGCGGTCCCTGCCGCCATCAAAACTGGTACCTCGCTGCTTGTTGGCGTCTGGACCGAAGACAATACCCATTACGAGGCAGAAAAACAAGCATTATTGGAAGCCATTCAACAATACGGACACGATTGGATCTTGGCCGTATCGGTGGGCTCTGAAGACCTATACCGGGGCGACACGGATGCAAATACCCTGGCGTCTCAGATCAACGATGTTCGCGGTATGCTCTGGGGTCTTGGAGCTAGCAGCAAGTCTGTTGGACATGTTGATACCTGGACCGCGTGGGTAGACCCTGCCAACACGGCAGTGATCGAAGCCGTTGACTGGCTCGGAAACGATGCATACCCCTACTGGCAGGGCGTTGGCATCGACAATGGTGCTGCTAGTGACGCATACTGGGCTGCAGTCAACCAAGTGCGAGCGGTCGCAGGAGGTCGCGATGTATGGACTACTGAGACGGGCTGGCCAATTTCTGGCGACGCTGTTGGCAGTGCAGTTCCCTCGGTCGACAGTCTGCAAACGTTCTGGTGGCAAGTTTCGTGTGCAAGCTTCAGCAGCCTCAACTACTTCTTTTACGATGTCGACGACTTCACTGCCTCGCCTAGCTTTGCTGTGGTCGACTCTAACTACGACCCTCTCATCGACATGACTTGCGGTTCGTGAGCAGTCGGGCCCTGCATGATTCAAATCTATTCAACGGGCTCATATTGAGCTGTCCAATCCTTGACATGTTTGCATAGCGTGGTGGATAGAGGGTACTTGGGAGCACCCCGGATGGAAAATAGACTCAAATTCTAGAGTATCTCCAAGCAGATACAGTATACATCTAATACCATGGCACATATCACAAGCCACCAAGCATGTATGGTTTCTTCACCGGGACACCGATTCAGCCCACCATTTCTCGACCTAACTCTTCATCCCCAGGATTCCCAACAGCTCGAGGGTCTAGTCATTAAGAAAACAAAACAGAAACCGGTAGTGAAGCAAAAACCAGAGCTCAGATCGGCAAAACTTGTAATTTTCACGAGGGAAGTCAAACGATGTCGGCCGGACAATCGATATAAACATTCGTCATCACTGCTGCTGGACTGTTCACGAAGAACTCTCCAACAGCTGGAGGAAGTTATGCTCCCTTTTAAAGATGCTTGTCATGTTGATTCTGAAGTTGTCGTCGACCATCGAATAACTCTGTCACTGTCGTTGAAATTGTACTGAGTACCGTTCAGGCAAGTGGTAAGAACAGGAGACGACCGACAGCAACATCCCGGTCCTGTCCCTCTGTACGTTTGTGGTATCTGGAAGTCTGTCCGGCCATTGATTATGTGGGGAAGGAAACAGAGGCGGAAGAAACTCTCTCTTGATACATGATTTGTATCCGTCCTTGTACTTGATATGTCCAAGCAGCAAGCGAAAAGGGGAAGTGGCTTCTAGAATTGGCACCTCGGTCCTCCGAATCGAATCGGTTCGATGAAAGGCAGCAGGTTACACCATTTGGTCGGACAGAGCGAGGCGCAGCGTTGTTCACTGTAACGTGATGGTGGAAGAGTGAGTCATTTGTCCGCTGACCAAGAAAATGCTGCTTGTCAGACAAAAAGTCTTGAATCGATTATTGGGGCATCCAAGACAATGAAGCTGCCGTGTCATTGGGTGGTGCATTTGACTTTGCTCCTGTCAGACCGAGCCGCCTGTCCCGGTTACCTCGTTGGGTCTAGATTCATCCGCCTCGGACGACGACAAGCTCAAAGTGGTTTTTCAATGCTTTCATCCCACTTCCCTCTTTCTTCTCTCTCTTCCCTTCCCATACCCGTCCCCTCTCCCCTTCCTGCCTTGCTATCAGGCAAACGAACAGCAAGGCGTCTATCACACTTCCACCTGTCCTGACCGGGGGTCACTTTGGACAGTTGTTCACCATGGTTGTTACCGTTACTACACAACCTACCCGTCAACTCGTCTCACTCTACCCGCCATAAGAACCATCAATGGCACGAGTGGGAGTCTCCGGTTTCACAGAATAATTACGTACGGTCCTATCCTCTGGCTATCAATGATGGCCAGCGAAATGTTCAATCACAATATTACAACTGTCCCATCGGCAACGATGATAACTCTTCGGCGCTCGGGTGGGACAATCTCGACGTCTCTGATGACTGCATCGGCGACGCCTGCCGCGATGAAGATACATATCAGATTCTGAAGGATGCCACGCACCATATGGGCGAGACTGCTCCTCCTCTTTCAGTTGGGGAGGTGGCGCCTCCGAGGGAGGATCCGTCCGACTTGGTGGGCAATGTGCCTCTGAATTTCCCAGAGAGCTTCTTTGCCAACCCATTCGCGGTTTCTTTCCCGGGGGATATCCCGTGCCCAGGAGCACCCAGCAGCCAATTTATGCCTGGATGCACCTCAATCTCAATCCCTAGTCCTTGTGATCTCAGCACCAAATCCTCTCCTATGACACCGGATATCGGTTTCTGCGGGGCTCCGGATGCAAACAACTCGATCAGAACACCAAAGTCGATGGCTTGCACTCCATCTAGTGCACCTGACGCTCGTCTGTCTTCAAAAGGCGTGGCGAGTGCGACGACGAAATACGGACCACAAATCCATTTCGTTGACATGGCCGACAAGAAAGGGGCTCAGCGGATACGTAACACGATCAATTCTCGAAAACATCGCCAAAACAAGCTTGACAAGATACGAGAGCTGGAGAAGAAGTTGGCAACAATTGAAGCGGAGAAGAAAAGGTGGCAAGGACGAGCAACGGAGATGGGATGGAAGCCATCTCAGTAGAAGTTTGACAGTCTATGCTTTGAATTATGCTGGTTCAATACAATTCATTCACAACACTGCCCATTGGCCTTTTTCGAAGCGTGTCTCCTAAAATCTCCAAACGAGAGAAGGGACTAGAGAAGTATCGACTTGAATTGTAGAAGTAGAGACCAGCCCCCAATTCTGATGTGATGCTCGAGGAAGACGGCAGATAGCAGTAGATGAACCTGGTCAAGGGGCATTGAGATGTCTGATCTCAGCACTGCAAGTGGGTTCGTCACGCACGGAGCGGCACAGCGGCATGTCGAAGAGAGGTTTGTGGACGGTGGCCACAGTCTTGCCCAGCCCCGTTCCTTCGACAACTCAACTCGTGGTATCGAGTGATATCACAATTACTTCTCGCCACATGTTCAGTTCCAATTAACACGGACCCACGCCTAAACATCCGTGTGTATGAACCTCTCATCATAGAGAAGATTCTTTGATATCGGTCCATCTTTGAAACTCGAAAGGGGGTATAAATTGGTTCCCCATGTCCAGGGTCAGAATCAGCCCACTTGAGCGAAAACCGATTTTCTCTTTATAAAAATCTAGTAGTATGAGCACTTGTTTAACATTTCGTCGTCAATTTTTCTTTTTGTCTTTCATTTCGGCTTGGCCATTTCTTCACCTCTCTCCTTGATGGTCTTTCGCCGCGCGTACCAGCTCCAAAGGACTTCCCAGGAAGCGACTGTGGCCATGAGAGGCGGGCAGACGAGGAGTAGGAGACTCCACCACCGCGGACTCTGCGACTTGATCTTCGCCATGACGTCCGCGATCTGGAGCTTGAGATCGTCCTTGTCGCCGTCGTTGTAGAGAACGTAGCCTTTGCCCGCGTTCGGCTTGCCGTTGTTTCGACGTTCGCACCGTGCAGCTTTCTCCCGCACGTCCACCTGGCTTTTGACTCTGTTCTCGGCGTCCTCGGGCGAGAGATGCGGGTCGCGTTCTCGGAGGCGTTGCATCTGGATCGCCGGGTCGGACACGGCGACGACGATGACGGTGCTGCAGAAGATGTCCAGGCCGGACTCGAACAGGAGGGGCACGTCGACCAGGACGGCCCAGTACCCGCGGAAATAGTAGTACAGCATTGCGCGGGCCATCAGGAACCGCACCGCGGGGTGGACGATGGCGTTCAGCTTCTTCCGGTCGCGTATCCTCTCCTCCGTGTTGCCAAAGACCCTTCTCCCCAGCGCGGGTCTGTTCAGCGGTCTTCCCTTCCCGTTCGGCCCGTCTTCATTTCCACCACACTGGGGATCCGAGGCCGGGAGGAGGAGATCGGGTGTGGTGGGACCAAAGGTCGCGACTATGCGCCGGTATCCCCATGTACCCGGTTCCACGGCCTTTCGTGCGAGCAGGTCGGCGTCAACCAAGGGCAGCGAGTGTGGAGGGGAGGACAAGATCTGGGCGCAGGTGGATTTGCCCGTTGCGATCGAGCCTGTGAGACCGATCACAAGCATCGTGTGTTTCTCTGGTGCAAAGGGCCAGCGTTACTCGAGCATAGAGCAAGTCTTGGGAAACAAGTTACCACAAACTTCAGATCAAGCGGGCACAAGTTGCGGCTCGACTTCGCTGTATGTAAATGGATGGCACTACAGCGCCTTGTTCACTCGTGAAAGCCGACAATGGCCGAGGTTGACATCGAGATCCGGTGAAACAATATTCCGGTGTCAAACAAAGTGGGCTGGCGAGGCTGATAGTTAGCCTGCAGTGGCCTGGTAAAAATCAAGTGTCAACCACATCGAATGGTGCTGTAGGCCAGCGATGGGAGAGCACTCTCAAACAAACAGCCGAAGAGTGTATTGGTTTTTTTCGATACAACGCATACATTTGGTGTTGTATCTGTCAGGCTAGACCTCCCCGCCTGCACTTTCAGTGACTCATGCTGGTAATACCAATCTTCCCTCCTGTTTGATCAAACACCGTCAAGTGAAATGGGACGCTATCGCCTGGATTGAGATCCATCAAAATCTTGGGGTTGGGTCTCACTTATTATGACCTTTCGACCCCTCATACCCATCCATCGACTTACAAGCTTTCGCCGCAGCACTTCCCAAATAAGGGCTTCATCAAACATGACTACCATCCACTTGCCGTTGACACCGGCGGAGAAATTGTTCCGGCAATGCCTGCTTGACTGCCGCGAGGAGATGAAATCTGTCCCTGGTATGAAGGATCTCGTGTTAAGGTGGACGGGAGGCTGGGTCCGAGATAAACTGCTCGGGGTGCAGAGCCACGACATCGACGTGGCACTGAGTACAATGACCGGGTGGGAGTTTGGTCAAGCTCTGCAGGCCTTCATCAAGAAGCACGGAGCCAAATACGAAGAACAAGCCGCGCAACAAGGTTTCAACTCGCAGGTCAAGGACATCCACAAGATCGCAGCAAATCCCGACAAGTCGAAACACCTGGAAACCATCACCACGAGAATGTTTGGCATCGACGTGGACTTTGTCAACCTCAGGAAAGAGGTCTACAACCACCACAACCGCCATCCACAGGTGGAATTCGGCACTGCAGAGGAAGATGCGCTCCGTCGAGACGCCACCGTCAATGCCCTCTTCTACAACCTCGACACGCAAGAGGTTGAAGACTTTACGCGTCGAGGACTGGAGGACATGAAGAACAAGATCATTCGGACACCTCTTGCACCGTATCAAACATTCAAGGACGATCCGCTACGGGTCCTCCGTCTCATTCGGTTCGCGTGCCGACTTCAGTACGAGATCGAGACGTCTGCGAAAGAGGCGATGAAAGATCAAACCATCCACGAGGCTCTCCGCTTGAAGATCAGTAGAGAGCGTGTGGGGGTAGAGATCGGCAAGATTATGGCTGGACCCGATCCCTTCACAGGATTGAAATACGTCAACGAATTTGATCTGTACTTCACCGTGTTTGCCGATCCGGCAACGTCACCGACAGATGACTCGGTCGATGCTGGACACGCAGTCATCGCTTACGATGGACTTCGAAGGATCCTAGACGAGAAATCCTCCATCTGCCTCAGCCTACGACCAAAAGAGGATCAAGCCCTGAGTTGGTTCCTCGCGGCGTATACGCCGTGGTATAAATCATCTGCAAAAGCATACCAGGCCTCCAGGGAAGGCATCAAGGCCACCAATAGCATGAGCAAGGTCCTGAAAGATGCCATCGACCTACGACCCTCCATTCTCGAAGCGGTGCAGGCAGTAAACGACGAGAAAGCCGTTCGGGGAGACGTGGGCATGACTCTAAGACAGTGTCGAGAGGCGTGGAGATCGCATGTTCTCTTCTCATTGCTGTGTGACATTGTGGAGCAAGGTTTCTCGACCGCGACGGACCGATATCAAAAGTTCGCTGCTTACCTGCACGATCAAGATCTCGAAGCCGCGCATGCCATCACTCCGATCCTCAAGGGGAACGAGATCAAAGAAGCTTTTGGCAACCCCAAGGGAGGTCCGTGGCTCAAGAACGCAGTCGATGAACTGGCACGCTGGCAGTTCAACCATCCAATCGCAACGAGGGAAGAGGCAATCGAGATGATCTCGAGCAAAAAGTCGGAATTCGGTCTCGGTTGAGGCTGCGAAACAAAACAGGCTGGCTAATCAGGGAGGCATCACGGAGCTGGGCAAAGGCGGAACTCCCCTTCTATCTCATGGATCTATCTCCGGCAGGTGTGAGGAACGCCTCCCTCTCATTTCCTTCCGGATCGCCTCGGTTTCCTCTGCACTCAGACACATCCCAGAAATTACTAGATACGTGCAACGTACCTTATTACTGCCACGAACACCACCTAGGAAAAACCCTCCAAGGGCAGCCTCGGCAAGAACCTCGGCAAGAGTTCAATCTCGAAACTAGCCAAAATAGCAGAACCCTCTTCTATACTCAGGAGTTGTAACCAATGATGGCGGAGTTACAGTCTCGCATCGAACCAAGCTCGACGAGCAGTAGCGGCAGCCGAGGAGCCGAGGCGAAGGGATATCGGTCAGGCAGTACCAGAGCAAGTGATGTAGGCAGTCTTGGACTCGTTCCATCAATGGCATCAGCACTGCAATAACAATCTAGCTATTGCTATGTGGCATGGACTTTTGAAGTGGACCTGGACCGTGGAATCGAGCAGCGTCGACTTCTATACTAATCGCCATGGCATGCGGGAGCTCGCATGAGATGAAATGAACAATGAGCTGTACAATTCTCACAACAATCTCTCCTTTACAGCTTCGCGCCCGCAAGCCTAGCAGCTCTCAGCTTGACATCCTTGACCTCTTGACGGACAGCCAGGTCGAGCATGATTTCTTCACTACCACCACCGACAACGTGAACACGCACATCTCGACTGATCTGTTCGATCCGGGCACCTCGCCCCGTCTTTGAGTAGCCGGCTCCACCCATGATCTGCTGTGCCTCTCGACACACTTTTTCCAAGCACCTTGTGCTCATCACCTTTAGCAAGGCTGTCATGCCGCCGATATTGACCGGCTTTCCTGTCACGCGTGAAGTTTCAATGATGTAGCACAGCTGCTCGAGGAATGCGTGGGCGGGTTCAATCAAGAGTCCGAATTTGGCAATCTTTGCCTTGATGGGAGGATGCTCGATCAGTTTCTTGCCAAAGGTCTCGCGATCGCAGGCGTAATTGTACGCATCTTGGGCGCAGACCCGAGCGAGGCGGAGTGAGGCAGTAGCCAGAGAGAGACGCTCTGGGTTGAAGTTGGACATGATCATGGGGAAGCCGCCGCCTTCGCGTCCAATGAGGTGGTCCGCGGGTACTTCGACATCGTCAAAAGTGATGTAGGTTGATCCTAAGAATGTTAGAGTGGGGTGGTAGTCAGAAACAGGATCAAATGTCATACCGCTGGCGTGGACGCCTGTATTCTCCAATCTTCTTAATGTGACGCCCTCGGCCTTGAGTGGGATAACCAACAGGCTGATACCTCCATGGCCTGGTCCACCGGTCCTCACCGCAGCTGTACAATAATCGCACCAGAGAGCGTTGGTGATCCATTTCTTATTGCCATTCACGATATAACGATCTCCCCTCCTCTCCGCGGTGGTCTTGATATTGGCGACGTCGCTTCCTCCGTCTGGCTCGGTGATGCCCAGACAAAATCTGAGCTCTCCTCTGGCGATCTTCGGCAGCCACCTTTGTCTTTGTTCTTTTGTTCCATAGCGCGCAATAGGCGGTGCACCGATGGAGTTGCCGCCTGAAATGCCCCATATTGGACCACACCAGCCCAGACGGCTGACCTCGTCGGTTACGATAACGGAGCACCACGTATCCCATTCGTCGTAAGGTATTCCGGCAGGCAGTTGGACACCGCCCGCATCAGCGGGATCAACGACAGGATGGGTGACCGCGAACCCGAGCTGGCAATATCGTAGACGGACATGCTCCGGCACCTGGCCTGCCTCTTCCCATTCTTGCGCATAGGGAGCGATCTCGGTGTCAATGTAGTTGCGGACAAAGGCACGGAGGCGGTGGTGTTTCTCCGTGTAATACGGATCCCCGAGATCGAGCTGAGGGAGGAGTGGTTCGGAGAAAGGAGCTGGGGCGGTGGGAGCCATTTTTGGAGTTCGATTGTGCAGTTAGGTAGGCAGCGGAGGCTCAAGCTGCCCAATGTTCCACTGGCTACATTTTTATACTTGATCTGGGGCGCCTAGGGTAAGACGCGCCACAACCTTGGAAGAAAGACGCGGGGAGAGGTGAAACTAACGACGAGCCCGAATCGAGCCTCGGCCGGATCAGTCTTGGCGAACTTGGCGAGAGTAAACCCAACTAGGAAACAATATCACGGTGGTGACATCTTTGGTGCATTCGTGTCGGATATCCATCTCCAACAAGGAAAGGCTGCATCATTATAGCCCCTATCATAGCCTCAATCATGTCGACCCTTATGTGCTGACTACTGGGACAGTACTCATCAACTCAGAAAGCGAGTGTCGCCGATGGAGGTGATCAGGTGTTGTTGGTTGCCACCCCAGGCAATGTGAGACGCGGTTTTCAATTATGGAATCTTTCAGAGAGTTCGTCGCCAATCAGGTCTTGGTCAAATCTGGCGATGACTCTGCAGATGCAACTGATGATGCTTCCGCCGATGGTACAGACGGGCAGGGCGGCGGACCCAAAACGCCTGCACAAGACGTTGATGTTGACAACAACAACAACACCCCTCGAGCCCTCGAAGTCAACAAGTCCGATTCGGACGAGACAGAGAAGGTAGTTCCTCAGAAATACCCTCAGCTGTCCAACAATCCTCCGGAGTCGCCGCCTCTTGCGCCAGGGCAGAGAGAGGTTGAGGATGATGAGGACGACTATGATCTGTCCAAGTCTTTCCACCGCACGGCGAGTCCTTCTCCGACGGCGCTGCAACGCAATAGGGGTGCACTTGTCAGCAAAGTGGGAGAGGAAGGCGTCAGCAAAATGCACAAGTTTACCCTCCACGAAACCGCCAACTATTACTATATCGTTGGTTCAGACCTTTTGGACTCGGCATTTCGGATACTGAAGATCGATCGGACGTCAGAACCGGGTGAGCTTAACATTACGGAAGATGACATCGTCTACACCAAAAAGGAAACGCAGCAGATTCTCAATGCTATTGACGAGGGCAATCGAGCAACCGGCGGGCTGAAGATCAAGACTAGCTTTTGGGGTCTCCTGGGATTCATCCGCTTTACAGCCCAGTATTACATGCTGTACGTGACCAAAAGGAGTCAAGTGGCTATGATTGGGGGCCATTACATCTATCAAATCGACAAGACGGAACTCATGCCTCTGGTAACAGCAGCATCCGCACGAACGAAATCGGACCGACACCTTGAAGAAACGCGGTTTATCGGTATTTTGAACAACCTCGATCTTACAAGGTCCTTCTATTTTTGCTATTCGTACGATGTCACCCGAACACTGCAGCACAATATCATGCGCGAACGGCAAGCACTCCAGGAGGGCCTGACAGAGCCTCACAAGCCAGACCACAACGATATGTTTGTCTGGAACCATCACCTCTTGCAACCCGCCAAAGAAGTTCTCAAGAACCCGTACGACTGGTGTCTGTCGGTCGTTCATGGGTACGTCGATCAAAGCTCACTGTCGGTATACTGGGGTAGGGTAGTCTATGTGACAATCATTGCCCGTCGATCGAGATTCTTTGCCGGCGCCAGATTCCTGAAACGTGGTGCCAATGACCTTGGATACGTGGCAAACGATGTGGAAACCGAGCAAATCGTATCAGAAATGCTGACCACTTCATTTCACGCCCCAGGCCCCGTGCTGTTCGCAAACAACAAATACACTTCCTATGTGCAACATCGTGGCAGTATTCCACTGCACTGGACTCAGGACAGCACAGGTGTCTCGCCAAAACCTGACATCCATCTTAACGTGGTGGACCCTTTCTTCAGCGCTGCTGCTCTCCACTTCGACAACCTTTTCAAGCGGTACGGAACACCCATATACGTGCTCAACCTGATAAAGGCCCGCGAACGCACTCCAAGGGAGTCCAAGCTTCTGAAAGAGTACACTCTCGCGGTGAATTACCTCAACCAATTCTTGCCGAAGGACAAGCAGATTGTGTATCATGCATGGGACATGAGTCGAGCATCGAAAAGTAGAGATCAAGATGTCATTGGCAGTCTGGAGGCAATAGCTGAAGATATCCTTCCCAGAACAGGCTTCTTTCAGAACGGCCGCGACGAGGAATCGGGCCTCCGTCTCCAAACCGGTGTCGCAAGAACCAACTGCATCGACTGTCTCGACCGAACCAATGCTGCTCAATTTGTGATTGCGAAGAAGGCTCTCGGGTACCAACTTCAGGCATTGGGAGTGATCGAGCATCCGTCGGTCGAGTACGACTCCGATGCTGTAAACCTGTTCACCCACATGTGGCACGACCACGGCGATACTATAGCCGTACAGTATGGTGGCTCACACCTGGTGAACACCATGGCCACGTACCGAAAGATCAACCAGTGGACGAGCCATTCGCGCGACATGGTCGAGAGTTTCAAGCGGTACTACAACAACTCGTTCATGGACGCGCAGAGGCAGGAAGCGTACAACCTGTTCCTTGGAAATTATGTCTTCTCCCAAGGCCAGCCCATGCTTTGGGATCTCACCACGGACTATTACTTGCACCACTCCGATCCACGATCCATGTTTGGCAAACGGCGGCCGAGTTACCGCCACTGGTACACGGACGAATACCTCGAAACGCCGCAGATGCCGCCATCGCTCTGGCCGCATGAGCTGCGCGACAGACCGTTGACATTTTTTGACGATTATTGGGTCGAATACTACCGGCCTCTATCCATATCGTCATTCCGGAAGCTCTTCTCCTTCAAAATGCGCTCGAATCTACAATATATCCCGATCAGCTCAACTTCGGCCGGAAAATACGATCTCAGCCCGTTTAGGGTGCGGACGGCGAACGACAGCGACGGAGAAGGGCATGAAAAAGGGCAGGGGACTCGCAAGGGCGTCAAGATAGTTGCGCCGTCGGACGATACTGCGTCCACGATCGGGGGAGAAACGATGGTGTCGTCCGCCGACGGACGTTTGAATTCGGCCACCCCATCAGCAATTGAGCCGACTCCGAAGCCCAGCACTCTGGGGCCTTGGCTCGACGCGCAGCAGCAGCTTCACAACGCCCTGAGAGGCCGCCGATACACGGGCATCATCAAGGAACCCTCGTTCGAGGTCCAGTCAACCTCAGTGCCCAAGATCCCAAGACTGCCAACCACCACGAGTAGTGACCTGACCAACAGCTCCCTTCTCCTTGGCCCACCCACAAAAGCCGAGCTTGCCCTTCACGCCTTCACATCCCTCATCGAAAACTCTCTCAACCCTCAGGTGCGCCAGTTGAAAGAGTACCAGCGCTACGTGGCACACCCGTCGACTATCCCGTTGGTGGTGTCCAGTGACATAGACTACTCCTCGGCGCCGCTCGAATTCCTTGAGTACCTGTCCAAGACCTCGTCCGACCCGGCCGATCACAAAGTGCTCCGGCACTTTGACGATGAGCGCGGTGCGGTGACGCTGACGATGGAGGAGAGGGCCGAGGCCAGCATCGATGATTACCTGGAGTATGTGGCGAGTGGGCAGGTGGAGAACCCGCTGACTGTGCTGGAGGAGGACGGTGGGAAGAAGCGATACAAGGCCTACAGGAAGTGGTTGAGAGGGAAGAGTCTGTTCAAACAGCGGCCCGTGGTCGGCGATGAGATGGAGGGGAACGCTGATGGTCCCGTCGTCGGCTAGACGCGTGTGTGTGCATGGTGTTTGATTCTGATGGCCATCATCATTGGGGTGGGGGAATCGACAAGCGACGGCATTTTTCCGGGGGTTGTTAGAATGGACCTTTTCTTTTGTTGTTCTGATCCTTTCGTGATACCCGTATAGATTGACATTCGCCCCTGGAAACGGAGGTTCATAGCGTGAGTTTTTGTTTTGTTCAACAGAGAAGGACCACAGGGCGATATAGTATTGACCACCACAGGAATCGAGCATTCGCCATCTCCATCTTTTCTTCGCACATAGCCAAGTATGCTATGCGCGTATTTGAACCGTCATGCGTGAAGCTTGCAGTGGCCAATTCTTGTAGCCAAACGAAAGCATATGAATCCTCAATTTGATGATACATGCATCCTCTCTAGTCTTCGAATAACCCGGTCAGATCACCCTCCTCGCTCAGCAATTTCTCCTTGATACCCGCCCAGTCCTCCTTCGCCAGGACGTCCCGCAGCATCTTCACCACGTCTTTGGTTTTCTTCATGATCTCTCGCACAGCCGTCGTGGAGGGCACGTCACTCGCGCCGTCTGTCTCGTCCAAACAGTTGCACCAGCACGCGACGCAGGCCCGGAGGATCTCGGCCCACCACTTATCCTTGACGCGCGGTGCGCACACGTCGACAACCGCTTCCAAGACGTTCAGCGAGGCGAGCGCCATCTCCGGCGCCGCCAGGACGAATGGGTCCATCAGGGCCAGACGCATCATGGGCAAGAGCGTCTGGAGATGCTTCACAGCGTAGATTCCCAGTCGCCGGAATATCGGCGGGATCTGGTTGAGCAGCAAGGTCGTGATCGGGCCGGAGATTGTGTTTGAGATGGAATCCGTCGCGGAGGACAGGTGCGACAACGACGCCATGATCCCGTGTCTGTAGAGCTTGGTGAGCAGGGCTTCCCTCGCCATCAGGTCCTCGCCCATGTTCCACGTTGGTCCGGCGTCGGGTTTCTTGCCCGTCGAGATGTCGACTCCCTCGGTGGTGGCCACTTCCAGTCTGATGAAATTTGCGTCCACGAGTGCCAGGTAAGCCGGGTACAGCTCCCTCAGGAGCAGCAAACTGTCGGCCTCGGGCGTCAGACTCGGCAGCAGCAGGAAATTCGTCTTGAGCGCGTCGACGAACACATCCGTCAACCCCGTCCGTTTCAGCATGTCGCTCTGCGTCGAGACGAGTGTCGTGCAAAGCAGACGCAGCAGGAGACACCCGTCGGATTTGTACGTTGGCGATGCGTCGTCGATCATGTTCAGAGTAGGCGGGACGAGGAGGTGGAAGTGGGATTCTATCGTCGACCTGCGCACCGGCTGTGGGAGACGCATATAGCTTTGTAAAACATACTTCAACAGGGGCGCGGTGAAGGGCGCTCGCTTCCATGGTTTCTGGACCTGTTCATCGTCGTCTATAGATGTGAGAAACCTTGCCGCACCTATCGACGGCGGCGGTCCCGGTACGAGAGACTTGCGGCCCGTTGAAGTCAACTGCGGGTGTTTTGTGTTTGTGAACAGCGGTTTGATGACTTGTGTGAGAAGGTCCAGGAGTGCGGCTCGGAGGTGGTCGTGGTCTTCGTTGGATGTGATGCCGGAGATGATGGAGTGAGCTTGTCGGCGAAGAACACCAGTCTGTGGTCGCTCATTCTCCGGCTCGAGTGAGAGGTTCTCTAAGGTTTCACTTCTATCCATGTTTGCAAGGGTCTTTGACAGGGAAGACGAAGATGGAAGATAAATTCAGTTGGCAAGACGCGCAAGGCTGCCATGTTAGGGTTACAGCCAACCAGAGCTCAGAACACACAGCCTCGTCATTGCGGGTTTCCAAGCTTCGTCCGGAGGCAGTTGGCCAGACACATTGACCCATCAACTGGCACATTTAGATGGCGAACTGAATCCCATCGGAGTGAAGCAGTATTCGCTACCCGGCATCCAAACAATTCGCATTCTTCAGATTCTCGGATCACCGCTAGACCTTACCCATGCATTTAGTGGTCAAGGCAATATCCATCTTGCGGTTTAGGCTGCACCGCAGCACGCCCAAATCTCACTCTGATCCTACCCAAAGTACCGAGTACATCCACCTACCTCTGCACATTCGATCCTGACGCCGGTGATGCTTGTCCAACTGGCATCTCTCAGGCGTCATACCAGCCAAGGCCCACAATCCGCGGCAAGATTATCATTGGACTTTCGTTCAAGGTTCCCTTTCCGCCCTCCGCGTCCCCATTTCTCGCTTCTCCCAATCGCAACGAGCCAGATGTGGGCTGAAGATAAGGAAAGGAAAAGCGCTGCAACAATTGGATAATGCAATGGCTTTTGTCAAAGGCTCAAATGCTCAAAGCTTCTACGGCTGCATCATGCTCTAGCTCACTGCATTTACTCACTCTTGATAGGCGTCTCCCCGTTACGTTTTGCCATTTGACATTGGATTCCCAGACGACCCCATCCGACCATCGCCACTGCATCGCTGCTTATGCTGGCCAGCTCGAGGGATGGCAAGCCGTCCAGGCGGTCGGTACCTGGGATGGGGCGTATCATGGATATGTTTCGTCGTTGACTAAGTCCATTTCTCACGTGTTCTTTTGTATTATTTCATAACTAACCCTGTCGGATTTCCCAAATCTAGACATTTCTGTCTTTTTCTCTTCTGAAGATGATGGCGTCAGACTGTTGATATTGATATTAGACCCCCGAGGGAACGTGTATGGCTTTGCCAATCGACGAGTCATGCGAAGATATAGTTCCACCGGTAAGTCTCGAGTCACAAAGTGTCTTCGAAGGGTTTCTGCTCACGAACGCGGTTCTGTAGAAGAGGACCACAACCAGAGACGGCGTTCAGTAGCATTGATGGATGAGGGAATTCAGCCAGAGGTGCCTGATGAACACACGGGGCTTCTCCCCAAGAAGCGCCATAATGAAGAGCAAGCACCCAGTCACCAGGAAGGCGAGCTGCTCGATATCCTTCCCGAAGACGACACCCCGACACAGAGGCTCGTTCTTCATGAATTCTGGGTCTTATTCCGAGGTTCTATACCTGTCATTTTGGCCTACTCGCTCCAGAACTCGCTCCAAACAGTATCAATCTTGATCGTTGGCCGAGCATCGCCACAAGACCTCTCCACTGCTGCCTTTTCCTACATGTTCGCCATGTGTACGGGCTGGCTGATTGGCATGGGAGGATCGACTGCTTTGGATACCCTGGCGAGTTCCACTTTCACCGGAAGCAAGAACAAGCATGACTTGGGCATCCTACTGCAACGGGCCTTCATCGTCCTGACTCTGTTCTATGTCCCCGTCGCCATTCTTTGGCTGTGCTCAGAGCCGGTGTTTAAAGCTCTGGGTCAAAGCCCTCAGTTGTCACACGACAGTTCTAAATTCTTGAGTTGTTTGATCCCCGGGGGACTAGGATACATCTACTTCGAGACGATGAAGAAGTATCTTCAGGCTCAAGAGATCATGCGACCGGGGACCTACGTGCTCCTGATTACTTCTCCAATCAGCGCGTTGTTGAATTACCTGTTTGTCTATGTGGCGGGTTGGGGCATCTTTGCGGCGCCGCTCGCAACTGGCATTGGCTACTGGCTTTCGTTTCTGGGCCTCGTGCTCTATGCCAGATTTGTGGCTGGCGGCGAATGCTGGGGCGGTTGGACCAAGAGATGCCTTCAGAACATGGGTGTCTTTGCCAAGTTGGCCTTCCTTGGGGTGATTCATGTCGGGACCGAGTGGTGGGCTTTCGAGATTGTGGCATTGGCGGCTGGCCGACTTGGAGAAATCCCTCTCGCATCCCAAAGTGTCATCATGACAGCAGACCAAGTCATGAACACCATCCCCTTTGGCATTGGAGTTGCCGCCAGTGCGCGGGTGGGCAACATGCTCGGTTTACGCACTGCCAAGGGCGCAGCACGATCGGCCAACGTGGCTGCCTGGCTGAGCATGCTCATGGGAGCTATCGTGTTGGCCATCTTGATGGGCACGAAGAACGTCTTTGCCAAGATCTTCAACGACGATGAGCGGGTGGTCAAGCTTACCGCCGATGTCCTGCCCTATGTGGCTCTGTTCCAAATTGCAGATGGATTGAATGGCAGCTGCGGCGGATCTCTACGAGGCATGGGCAGACAGCATATTGGAGCTGCCGTCAATCTCGTCAGCTACTATTGCGGCGCTCTTCCCCTGGGCATCTGGCTGGCCTTCCACGGCTGGGGTCTCCCGGGGCTCTGGGTCGGGCAGTGCATTGCGCTGTATCTAGTGGGCATTGCCGAGTGGGCGATTGTCGCCTTCAGCAACTGGGAGCACGAGGTTGACAAGGCTTTTGCCCGGATGGACAAGGACGAGCTAGTGGAAGGCGGCCATGCCACGGCGTCTGTGCCTCCTTCACCTTCGGAAAATGGCGCTCAATGAGTGAATGACAAAATAGTGCATGATAATCAAAAGATAGATAGGGTACCATAGGAAATAGATGATCAAAAGTATTACATAGATCTGGTTTTCTGGTCTTGAGCATAGATATGGAACATGATCCCCATCGCTGGCCCCGCGGGTATGGGCAATACAAGCTTCCTCTTCCGGTTAGCGTCGTTCACATCACTTGAACGTCGGACCAAAAAAAGAACTGCACATGATACGAGATTCTGTCTTCCTTTCATTCCCACTGATAAGCATCCCGCCCCGGACAATGACTTGCGTCACGCCTTCAATAATGACACACAGCATTCGCTCACGGCCTCTCTCTTCTCTTCTGACATACCGCCGGCCAAGTCCACCTGCCATTCCCCTCGCATGGACTTGTGCGCTGTTGCGGCCTTCGACCAGAACCCATCCATGCATGTGGCTCGGTCCTTTGTTCTCCTTCTGCTGATGGGCCAACCAGCCCCGCGATATGGATCGAGAGAAAATGCCCGGGCCAGCTTCCCCCCCCAAAGCCCTGGTCTCGGCCTCGCATGATTGTTCTCATGCTGTCATGATTTGGCAATTCCTCATGTCAACGCTGCGGGGCCTGCATTGATAGGGAAGCTTCTGTCGTGCCCGGAAGACTCCCGCGTCCATTTACATGCTTGGGGGGATTTTAGGTAAGAGGACAGTCCAAGTCTGCATCATTGGACACGGTCCCGAGTAAGGCGCATGGACCTGTCGGAGCTGGGAGCTATCTGCAGGAACTCAATGGGCTGAGAGCTCCTACCTAGCTCGTGGGAAGAGACAACAACAAAAAAAAAAAAAACTGCTTACGCTTGAGCTCCCAATTTCCTGCTTCGTGGGAATTTTTTTGGCTTCTCGAAAAGATCTCTCTTTACTCGTTGCTGCTCGAATCTTCGTTATTGCGTTGGGACGAGATTGACCAACTTGACCATCGAGGCCAAAAGGATGCTAATCAAGGCCTTTGCCCTACTGGCATGTGCCAGCTGCACGCTCGCCCATGGCGACCACGACCACGATCAAGCTCCCATTGAAGGACCGCACAAGTCGCTTTGGTACAACACCCTGCCAGGTGACGGTGGCACACAGGTGAGATTCAGTATGGGGGGAATGCAGCTATAGGACAAGCTCATTGACACTCTCGAAACCCAGGCCGACTCTGTCTTCTCTGGCATCTCGACCTTCGGCCGCCTCCCCTATTTCCCCTGCTTGACCAGCGACGAGGAGAAATATGACATTGCATTTCTTGGTAGGGGCGTCCCCAATCTTTTATTTCTGGGGTTTCTCTCCCCTCCCCCAAAAAAGCGATACAGGAACCTGGAAGAAGGCTAATTTTTTGCGTCGGGGTTGGTGCTTTTTGGTGACAAACAGGCGCACCATTCGACACGGGTACATCGTACCGACCGGGAGCGCGGTTTGGACCCAGCGGGATCAGGCAAGGTTCTCGACGCCTCAATCTCTAGTACGTCCTTTTTTTCGTCCCTGCTCAAAGGCTTACGTTGCGACACCGTATGTCACAAAAGGCTCACGAAAACTGGGGTTTAGCGGCGGGTATAATGTGTACGTGTGGCCAGAAACCCCTTTCCTCTTTCCCCCCCCCCTTTTCGTCCAATGAACCTGGCGGTACTCAGACATGCTGGAAACCGTGGGTTGAAAGACAACGACGGGGATACAGGGTGCTAGCAAGCAAAAATGAGTCCGCAGAAACAAGAAAAAAGAAAAAAGGCTGACAATTTGGGTGGGGGATCAACCCTACACAATACGAACAGACCCATGAAATCCAACCCCTTCAACTTCTGGGGCAAAGTCATTGATTGCGGCGACATCCCAGTCACTTCGTGAGTACAACCCTCCCCTACATTCCAACTGATGGGCCTTTGCCCTGAAAACACCACGAAACTTGTCGGTATGCTTTATTCTTGCGCATGATAACTGACGATGACGTCCAACAAAAAAGGTACGACAACCACTACGCGCTCCAGCAGATCGAGGACGGACACAACACGCTGCTCATGCGCACGCCGTACACGGCGGCGCAGGAACCGGGCATCTCCAAGGCGGGCAAGACGCTGCCGCGGATCATCACGCTCGGGGGCGACCACACGATCACGCTGCCGCTGCTGCGGTCGATCAACAAGGCGTACGGCCCGATCAGCGTGATCCACTTCGACTCGCACCTCGACACGTGGAAGCCCAAGGTGTTTGGCGGGGCGCCGTCCAAGCAGGCGGCCATCAACCACGGGACGTACTTTTACTGGGCGTCCGAGGAAGGCCTGCTGGCCAACGACAGCTCGATCCACGCGGGGATCCGCACGACGCTGTCGGGCCCCTCGGACTACGAGAACGACGGGTACTGCGGGTTCACGCGGGTCGAGGCGCGCGAGATCGACACCATCGGCGTCGAGGGCATCGTGCGCCGCATCCGCGACCGCGTCGGCACCGTCGACCCCGTCTACCTCTCCATCGACATCGACACGCTCGACCCGGCCTTCGCCCCCGCCACCGGCACCCCCGAGACCGGCGGCTGGAGCACCCGCGAGCTGCGCACCATCCTGCGCGGCCTCGAGGGCCTCAACTTCGTCGCCGCCGACATCGTCGAGGTCGCCCCGGCCTACGACACCAACGCTGAGCTGACCACCATGGCCGCCGCGGACGTCCTCTACGAGGTCATGACCATCATGGTCAAGAACGGGCCCTTGACCAAGAAGGCCGCCCAGGGCGACGGCAAGTCCGACGAGTTCGCCCTGCCCGAGCACGCCGAGGAATTGAAATAAGGTGCGAAAGAGGTGAGAGATGCCGTGTCGTGAGCAGACTGGTGTCATGGTGGTGGGCGTTCATCGTGGTGGTAGTGGTGGGCAGAGTTTATACAAGGGGGCAGTGGAGACAAGAGGGGGGATACACACACAGTGGGAGAAGGGAAGCTATATAGATGGACGGGGACATGGCCGGCCGAATAACCCAAGCGTTGATACGCTTTGCTTTGGCACCTGTCTACGTCTACGAGGCACCAAGGAGAATCTCTGCCAATGGAACGAGCTTAGACGGGAAACTCGGCAATGCCAAACGATCAAAAGACAAAACAATAACAGGGCCAGGTCAAACAAGAAGCTCTTTCCCAACCTTTCATTAATGGTCTTGTAATACATCACACAAAAGGCCGAAGCCCTAGCAAAGGCAGTGCGCGCGAAGCAGGGCACCACACCCGTCTGGCAAGTGCATGATCGAAGTTGTATGTCTATCAAACATCGCTTCTTTGTATCTTCTTGGAGGGCAGCCTACTCACGCGCCGCTTGCGTCTCCGTCCACACCCAGCAGGCTCATATTTGGTCTCACCCCTCCTCTCAGCCATGATATCTGAGAGTCACTTTCGCTGGCTGACCAAATGCTTTGTGGATCCTCCTCCTTACACGGTACTTTTTCTTCCCTGGATATTGCCCCTGTGGTCTTTGCTGGGTTGTGTAACACTGATCTATCAAGACGCAATGGATACCACCCACACCGCCCGATGTGTGAGTTCTGGGGGTTAGTTGTGTAAGGCAGGCAAGATTGTGCACCGCTCTCGATTAGAGGAAATAGTCTGGTGTTCTTCGACTGACCATTGGCTCGCCAGCTCGGGGACATGGATCAAATTGCAAGCTGTAGATTTCATTCGTCAGAATAGCAACCGAGAAAAGGGGGGATTTACACTCACAAGGTATACTTCAGATGCTCATCGATCTCCATGATGGCAGCTTGATTACCACATCTGTAGCAGTAATTGGGAGCGCTGAAAATCGTCACCACATTGCGATCCTGACTCCAGTTGTAGCCCTCCATGACCAATTGATGAGCTCTGGCAACCAGCGTCAAGCCATTGTTATGGTTGAACGCTTCTGAGATGTCTTGCCCAAATGTGTATCCAGCTCCTCTAGGACTGATGCCCCATCCGCATCGGTCATCAGGATCGCTCCACAGAAGATCACACATGGGACCTTCATGAGGAACTTCTTGGATTCGGTCAAGTGATCGGATGTTGTCGAGGGTGTCAATACTGGGAGAAAGCCCGCCATGCAGGCAGAAGATCTGGTTGTCGATCAGAGCGGTAAGGGGCAGGTAATCGAAGAGATCGGTGAAGTATTTCCAGACGTTGGCGTTGCCATATTTCCGCAGGCATTCATCGTAGAAACCGTAGACCTGGGTGATCTGCCTGGACTCATGGTTTCCGCGGAGAATGGTGATGCGGGCAGGGTATCGGATTTTGAGCGCGACAAGAAGGGTCACGGTCTCGACGGAGTAATAACCACGATCTACATAGTCTCCTGTTTGTTATTGTTAGTTTGTGTACATCAGTGACAGCATGTCTCAACCCACCCATAAAGAGGTAGTTCGTATCCGGGTTGGGACCCCCGATGCGAAAGAGTTCCATCAAGTCGTGGAACTGACCATGGATGTCGCCGCAGACTGTGACAGGACATTTCTGTTGAAAAGTCAGGCATTTGTCTACAGACTTACGCCGCGAGAAACAAGAACTCACCACTGGCTGTACGTTTGACTCTTCTTGGAGAACTTCTCTGGCCTGCGCGCACACGATCAGTCTTCTGGCGTGCACATGTTCGCAGACAATACTCACTCTGTCGCAAAGTCTTGATACGTCACTCTCCGCCAACTGTTTACAGTCCATCAAGCTCTCGATCCAACCATCGAGGGTCGGTATTGATTGTGGGTCAGTGGCAGGAGATAAGCCATGAGGCTGCGCTGGTTTTCCCACGTCAACGTCCATCTTCGTATCCATGATAGGGCGTAAACCCGTTCAGAAAGTCGAACTGGACGAACAAAGGCAAGGGATGAGGGGTGAGGTGAGGTCTGAAGGGCAATCGGGGATGTCGTGTGCTAAGGTGGGATGGCAGGTTGAGTTGTCAGTCTAGGACAAAGTAACGCAGCAGATTCGAATAGAGGACTAGCGTGTGAGGGAAGGTCGGCGTGGAAGGGATGTTGGGTGAAGTGCAGCCGGCTTCAATATTTGTCGCAGCTGCTCGTTGCACTGAGGATGGTGTTGGGTTTTGGTCAACTTGTTGCGACAATGACATGTCAGTCGAAATCCTGCCTCTCTGTAGGTACTCGGAACCAATAATCCGCTAGCCGCTTAGGTGCTTAGCCAGCTCGGGATACCTGCGAGGACAAGTTTTAAGCTTAGCCACTACGTAATAAACCTGCCTCTATAGGTACCCAGTACCTACGGGTAGATGTTCTCGGAGGTACAGGTGTGACCAAGCCCGACGGTGAATATCTTGAGCACCTTCATTCTCTTGCACCCTCACTGAGTTGCACCTCACCGACTCTATGAAAGTTTGCTCTCGCAGTGGACAAGAAGTCCCGTTTATGCATGAGATGAAAATTGAGCTGATTGGCTCTTCTCAAAACGTTGTCTCCATTCGAGTCCTGACAATCATACAGACAACATCATCGGTTGTGAGTTTTGCTAATTATGTGCCAGTCATCTTCTCGCCCAAGCATTGTCCCACTCATGCTATCGTCTGAGGCCATTTGCACGTAGGCTATATAAAGTCACCACTTCCAAACCCTCCGAACGGATTATTACCCCATCCTCCTCCACCGCCTCCTGGGAATCGTGGGCCTCCTCGAAGATTTGGAGGACCATCCCCTGGGCCGACTGGATCATACCGTGCCCCTGGAGGGACCTGAGGATCAAAAGGTTGTCGACCCCCTTGGCCACCAAACAAGGGATCGTCAAAAGTGGGATGCATGCCTCCCCCACCACGAAAACCGCCTCCAGGGCCTATCCGGAGAGGATCATGTGGGCCTAAGCCTGGAGGATAAAGGTCTCTTTCCCCGATGTTCCCAAATGGCTGGTTACCTGGTAGCATGCCGCGTGGAGGTCGATTGATTTCATATTCATCTTCAAAACCCGGTGGCGGAAAGTCTCCAGGAGGATGAGGTCTTCGAGGGGGTATCGCTAACGGATCGTCGAAAGGGTATGGCCGTGCGGGTGGAGGATGATCGTCTCGTAACGGGTCACGCTCAGGAGGGCGAGTTTCTTCATGTCGTCGTGGCTGTTCGAGGGTGGAAGTTGCTTCCTCGTACCCGGCCTTCTGGATTCCCGGAGCCAACTTCTGGATGATATTAAGTTTGAACAGTGACGCAAGATCTGTGATCCGGCCATTTGATATAAAGACATTTCGAAGTGCAGAGACGGTATTGGCACCCGGGGTTGCCTCTTTTAATGATCCTTCGGAAATGTAGTCATTGGCCTTAACCTCAAAAGAGGCAGTCTTGTCATCGCCCATGCCAACACCAAATATGATAGCCTTGCTTCCTAGTCGATTCACCTTGATAAGATACTCCATGGCTGACTGTGAATGAGCATAGCGGAAAGCGTAGGAGGAGGATTCGTCCCACTGGGAAGGCAAGGGTTGAACATCTTGGGGTTCTGATTGTGCTTCTGCAGATGGTGAGATGTCTAATTCACTGCGAAACGATAGACCCTTACCTATCTTGTGGTCTTCTCCTAAGCCGACGAGACGGAAGCCAACTGCAAGCATGCAGGCATGTGAGAACAGGGCAATGGCGGCATATGGATCTTTGATGAGTCTAGGTTGTTCCGAGGCGGAAGGCGGGGTCGGGAGGCTCTTGACCATGTAGTCGAGGATTGAGTCTGCGCTCAGGGCGCTCACTGAAGCAGGAGCCATGGCAGTGTCAGGTATCAGGGTTGATGTAGTTTTTTGACGAATAGAGAAATGCAATTGACATGTGTTCGTGGAGAGTAGGTAGGTAATCGGGTGATATGTAGCCTAGATTCTGGCCTCCAAGGACATGCGTTGTGGGGGACGCGCCCCGCCGCAAAGACACGCGCAACGCACTGCGGCCTGACATCATTCGGTTGCTGGGGGCAAGTCCTCGGCTAAGTTGCACTTGTTGAAGGGGGGTTCATGTTAACAATTGTAACATCGAAGTCCTGAGTTGACCTTTGAACCAAGATTGATGAAATTTCATTAGAATAAATGAATAATTGACATCTATTATACTTTTCTATATGCTCCCAAGCCTGGTGAGACCATCCATATGTCTACCTTGGTGATATGAGGTGGAAGATTGGTTATAACTAGTCTAACCTGGAGCATGTCGAGATGCCATTTAGGACAGGTGGTTGGGACCAGGGCTAAGAGACTGTAAACCGCAGTGAAAGAGGTTCGGAAGGTTGAAATGCAGCCAACATGGCCAAGCAGCTCTGGAGTATCGATAGGCTGTTGGATACCTTGTAGATGGAATGGAAAAAAGTGCAAGCGGAAACCGAGGCTCTAAGACAAGGCTGAAGGATGGGAGTCGTATGAAGCAACCTAGCCGAGTCTTACGTAACAAGGTTTTTCTGGAATGCGAGAAACAAACTTCAGGATCCCGACCACCACATTTTGACGCGTTCCTCTAAACAAAGGAACCAAATAAGACCCTACAGGGTTTCAACAGTCGACTCGGGTAATATCAAATGGAATGTCTCAATCGCAGTCTTCGACTCGACTTCCTTGATTCTGCTATACACAGCTGACCACATGCGACCAAGTCGATATCTGATCGGGTCAGCCTATCCTCCTCCAAACCAGCCGTACCATCTCGACGCAAATCACACTACTTTTTCACAACTCGGACTCGAGGATTTGATTTTCCCAGAGGCGGGACAGTCTACGGATATCCCTCGCACGAATACCTGCATCTTCTATGCCCGAATCCATGACAAGTTCTAGCTCTGTTGACAGAATACGTGCTGGTGCCTTACGACGAAAGTCGATGACGGGTGGCCTTTGAATCCACTCTCACTTTGCCACTGATGGGACGGAGGGATAGTGAGTGTTTACAGAGACAGTGTGAAAAATTCCCAATTTATTCTGGACCATAACCGTAAAAAATGGCTCCACGTCGATCTACGGCAAGAGGCTCAAGTGCGACGCCGGTACGCGCAGTATCACCGGCGAAACGGTCGACTCGTGCAGGCAGCGCCGCATCACCAGACAATGCTATCCCACGTCGAGTCACTCGTGGTACCTCGCAACAACCGAGTCTTGCGGCAGATGGTATTGTGAACAACCCGAGGCTGCCTGAGGTGCAACTCCAGCAATCTTATGCCTATGGATCAAGCAAGACTCCCGTCCTACCTACCCAGTTGCTCGCGCGAAGTAGGATGAATTTGACAGAGATGGCCGAAACAATCGATGTTGGAGTCGAACAAGCGCAGCAACATCTCCAGAATCATATTGAGGAAACTCAAGCAAATCTACAAAAGGACCCTCGAGCTGAAAGGGCTCGACGAAGAGCTTCTCGTGAGAACTCACGGGAAGCCTCCGTGGCGAGTGATGATGCCGAGAAACACCGCACTCAGCGAGTAGCAGCGTGGGCAAGTTCTCTAGATGACAATCGACTAAACGGGATACCAGAAGAAAGTCAAGAGTCAGTGAGGCTTGAAGCTGAAAACGATGACGGAAGCTATGAGAGCGCGTCTCGAAGTATCCCTGATGATGATTCCAACAAGGGAACAGATCCCTCGAGCTTTCCCAGCGGGATATTTGATCATAGCTACAACTATGAAAGAGGTCTCCGGAAGCCTCAGATCACGATACGAGAACGAAAAGACCCATGGTTTCGAAAGGCCTGGAATGGCAGCAAACATTCCGCCCAAGAACTTCGGCAGAGATCCTCAGACTTTTTTCATTTGATATTGGATTGGTGGATACGGTTGTGGCGGGCCAGCGGCAGGGCGATCAGAAGCATCCTAAACTCGCCCCTTGTGGCCATCTCGATGAGCATTTTCTTCGCATTGGTATTTGTCGGAGGAGCGAGCTTTCTATTATGTCACACCTACACTAATTTTGTTTGCGATCCTTTATCGACTTCCTCAGCCGGATTAACCCTTCAAAAGTTCTGTGGAAGGTGTACGCGGAGCCCCAGTATCGAATCTCTGAATCTTACCGCCGGCAACAGAAACGATCTGTCAAAGCTCACAGCAGCTATACAAAACATCAACCAACAACTCGGGATTCTTGAAACACGATTGACCGACAAACTCGACTCACAGTACGCGACAGTCGGTAAAGATATTGAGAGCCTTAAAAGGCAGTATTCAGAGCTGTCAAACCAGATGGGCGGCTTGAGACCGGGAGACGAATCGGGTACCTTGCCTGGCAATGTCCCGTCCCCCATCATTCGAAAAGTCAACTACTTTGCACCAAGCAACGGAGCCATGATCGACCTAAAATTAACCTCACCGACAATGCAGAAGCCCCGGCCATTCTTGCACCGACTGCTCTTACGGATTCTGCTGTCGGCGCATTATGTGACCAAGCCACCGCTTGAAGCTCTAACTCCATGGCACGATGTGGGAGACTGTTGGTGCGCTGCGGCCGTTGAGGGTAGCGACCCGGGACCCGAGGATGACTTGATGAGGCTTGGTGTGACAGTGACGGAGATGATCTATCCCACTGAAGTGCTTCTGGAGAACTATCCGAGCACTGGTTCACTATTGCCGGGATCGACGCCCAAGACCATCGAACTTTGGGCCGATTTTGAACACCTGGATAGTTTGGAGTGGGAGAAGCTGAACATCCGGTCGATGCAAGGCGTGACGGGAAGCCCCTTAGGGCCGACCTACGCACTCATTGGAAAAATGGAATACGATGTCTCGAACGAGGCTAGTTATACCCAGGCTTTTCCGCTGGATGTGAACCAGGGTTCATTGGCGTACCCAGCACAAAATTTCGTGGTGAGGGTGACTGAAAACTATGGCGCGGAATTCGCCTGCCTGTACAGGGTTCGGCTGCATGGCGTTCCGTTATCTGGCACGAGATCGTCCGCCGACTCGACAAGCTAGATGGTTTTGTCTATTCGCAGAGGGGTTTGGGATTGTGCTGTTTTCTGAGAAAATTGTGTGGGTTTGCCCACCTACCTACCCACCGCAACGCCACGACGTTTTGGCATGGTATGTGCCGACAGCGGAATCGGCGTCTAGAGGGGGTTTTTTGGGCACGATTTGTGGAAGAGATGCCGTGCGGACGGATGTCGTGGGTCGCTTTTGAATCCAAAGAAACGACAAAGTCGCCGCCATACGCTGAGAAGGAGACACCAGGGCAAAATCAAGTCCATGTATGTATATGAATGATAGAGGATCCCCTCCATCGAAGAACTCTGGAATCGATGAATCCAGATTTTCTTTGCCCGAGCGAACCCTTTTTTTTTAATTTCGTTATTATTGCCTTCTCGAAACCTCAATTAGGTGAGGTTGACCCGTATATTGTGTTTCGGTGTATATGCGCATGTAGCTTCTCGTCACTTTCACCTACCGACTTACCTGGGCAGTAGTGGTAGTATTGGAGGAAGTACATAGATACAAGACGGGTGGCGAGGGGATGGATGTGTGGACGTGATGAATTGATTAATGACCCCCTTTCTACTCCAGCCTCAGAGGGCGAGTATTAGTCAGCATCGCTATCACGTCGATTTGATCAGACCAACAAAAAACAAAGGCAAAGAAATACTAGGTGTGTCTAGTCCAATACGAGGTACGTCGCAAGCCACCTTTCGCCTCTGGTGCATGACCTATGAAGGCAAAGTTCGGGTTCATAAGAGTACGAGGTACAGAGACGAATGAATAAATATTTCTTATCGAGGCGCTCGTCGCGACGGCGTGATATTAATGTATAGCGTCAAACAAGGTTTTCAGAAGGCGGAGACATATATCTTCTACCAAAAGACTGTAGTCTCTCCCTTAGTCGAACAGTGGTGACTTCTCTCTTTGTCGGGTTGTGCTGCTGCCCCTCCAGCCTGAGTGTCTGGAACCTTGCAACAAGTCTTCGCGTTCCCTCCCTGCTGCGTCTCCAGCGGATAATGCCAGATCAAGTCGTGCACTTTCCCTTCGAGAGTCTCGCCGGCAGGGCCGCGCTCGACCCAGTCGTCTTTGGTGATGCCTGCTAGGTCGGCTACGGTGTCGAAGCAACGCAGGACGGTGCTCATGGGCGTGATCTGGCCCGGAAGAAGCTTGTCCAAGAAACCCAACGGCAAACCGCCCGTGTCGACGATGGCGGGACAGACCGTGTTGATGCGCACGTTGGCCGCGAGGGCGGCGTCAGATTTACCCAGTGCGCAGACGAGGCCGATGAGAGCGTGCTTGCTGGCTGTATACTGAGGGTTGGATGCGGATGGGACCAGTCCTGCCCCAGACCCGGTGACGACGATCTTACCGCCGGGCCTCGACTTGCCAGCCGCTCCGCTGAGGACTGTCATGTAGTGCGCGGCCAGCTTGATGCCGTAATATCTAACACACCGAAATTAGAAACATTTCGTCACTCTCGAGTCCATTTCCAACTAGGCAGAAGAAAATGAGAGGTGCCGTCCATAGCACAGAGATTGCGTACATTCCAGTGATATTAACAGAGAAAGTGTCCGTATTGGGCTTTTTGGGAGGCTTGTGCATGTCGTATGACAGCGTATTGAATATGTCGTCTCGATCGTCGATTCCTGCATTCAGCGCACAAAAGTCCAGCCGCTTTCCCCAGTCATAGGCCTGTTTGAACATGTGGGCCTGCTGTTCCCAGGAGGACACGTCGGTATGGACATACAAAGTGCCCGGCAGGGAGTGCTTCGGTTGGTGGATATCTGCAATGACCACATTCCATCCTAGGGAGAGGAGGTATTCCACGAGGGCTGCGCCAATGCCAGATGAGCCACCAGTAACGATGGCAATTGGAGGGCTCATGGCAGTGGTGATGGCGACATTGAGTTGAGGAATGATTGATGTACAAGTCTATCGGTTCCCTGAGACGAGCGCAAAGGGCAAAGAGGTGGGAGGAGGAGATATACTTTTCTTATATCCTGTACTTACCTGTTCTTGAAGTACTCCGGCCATCCGTTGCCGTTCCAGCAGGATTGTCAGGCTATTACCGGACCGACTAGGCCGGGTATATAATAGTCAGTCGATTGGGTCTATATTCTAGCGGACAACGGGCCACCCAAGTTGGTGACATTATGGTGGCACGCGCATCAATCTCCTGACTGTTGGCATGGAATTGGTTAGCTTTCGCGGTAGATGTGCTTCTGTGTCTCCGAAGCATCACCATTAGCCGGCTGAGAGAATGGTGATGAGGAGATAGAAGGTAGTTCGCAAGGGCAAGCATTGACATGGTGGGGTCATTTGACTTTGGTACCTGCCGTGCCATATATTTGTATGGGGCTGGCACTGGCTGATCTAAACTCTTTTTGTCAGACTGGGCCACTTGTTTTCGTCCCCGCCAAGCCCAACGAGTCATTCATCCAAAGAGTCATTCCCTCCATGCCCGCCGCCTGCGATGTGAATCTCACGACTCACCAATACTTCACCTCCAGAAATCTATAGACCCCAGCGGAATACGGCAAGAACCGGTCACTGGAGACCGAAAGGACTATACTTGTTCTTTCTTCGCGTGCTAAACAAGAGGTGGACTTGACCGACCTGAAGGACGCGGCAGACCGCGCAACAGTGAATGAAACTCCGCACGCTGCTCTTCACTCCGCAACGCAGTCTTCTCGAAAATTTTGCCAGACAACGAACATCCCGAAGATCTCTACTTCCCACACTCTCTACCCTCAACGCTGGTAAACACTTTCTTGCCGTACCCTCTCGAACCATCACCTCATCAATGACGTCCGAAGTCCCCTCGACTTCGCCGTCAAGCTCTGCTCCCGCACAGCACAAGCCTCTGGTCGTTGGCCGCACCAAACCTCAGTCTGCCACCATGGATAGCTCATCGAGTAGCGGTCCTGTCGACAAAGCCATCCCCGCTGAGGCAAAGGCAGCCCTCAACCATGAAATCGCGGCGAACGTCAAATCCAATACGTCAGCCCCCGCACCAGCAGAGGAGACTGCAACTCCGTCAGGCAACAACAAGAAGAAAGAAAAGGCCCCAAAGCAGCCCAAACAGCCAAAAGCCCCCGCAACGCCCACAGCACCTGTATCTCCCGCCCTCATTGACCTGCGAGTCGGCCACATCCTTCGCGCAATCGCACACCCTAATGCCGACTCCCTCTATGTCTCGACCGTTGCGATGGGCGATCCTGAGGGGACAGAGCATACCCAAGTTGACGAGGAGACAGGCAAGGTTGTGCGGACAGTATGCTCAGGTCTGAATGGACTTATACCGTTGGAGGAAATGCAAAACCGAAAAGTTATAGTAGTCGCAAACCTGAAACCAGTGAACATGCGCAGCATCAAATCCGCGGCCATGGTCCTGGCTGCGTCTCCACCTGCGGAAGAAGGTGCAGATCCACACGCAGCCGATCGTATCGTGGAACTGGTAAATCCTCCCGAAGGCAGCGAAGCAGGTGACAAAGTTTACTTCGAGGGCTGGCCGTATGGTGAGGGCAAGGGACCGGAGAAACAGTTAAACCCGAAGAAGAAAGTGTGGGAAGCCGTGCAACCGGGCTTCTTCACGAGTGAGGAGTGCGTGGTTGGGTTTGATGCGGGCAGGCCGGGCGTTGAGATTGAGGGAGACAAGGAGAGGAAAGGCTGGTTGATTGTGGAAGGGAAGGGAAAGTGCACAGTCCAGACGCTGAAGGGAGCCGTTGTGAGGTGAACATTTTACCAATCTCGAATCGACTCTGCCAATTGAATTACTAGAGGATGCCAGGGGTATCTGATGCGGATGGGCAAGACGGCCTTCTCTTGAGTTTGGGAACTAGGCGTCAAACAATGACCTTTTACGCGGTGGTGCATACGGGGACGAAAAAGTTTGGGCCACTGACTGCCTGCCTGCAGTGAGCTAGAGCATAGAAAGCCATGTACTAAATTCGGCGCAGTGCGATGCATTGCGTTGTATTGCATTGATTGTGTGGTTTTTACATTGACATCGCCCAAACGAGACAGCAGGAGCGTGAACTAATTATGCTCTCTTGCCAGGGAGACTGACTGACTGACTGGCCAGCGTTCAATAGGACCAGATTATCTACCTACCCTCAGGTGACATGGGAGAGCAAGAGTAAGTCTTGACCCGGATTTAAGTCTCGAGATAGACAGGCAAGAAAAGGACGAGGCTGAAGCTCAAGCTATCCGCGGATCTGTCGGTCTGGCACAGGCACCAACGGTATGTCGACGCCATTGTTAGAGAAGTAGTAATGAGCAAGGGCCAAATGATGACTTCCTGGGATATGCCACTGCCAAACTCCTCTCCGCTCCAGCCCGCATCCAACTGTATTCATACCACACATATTAAGTTCATGGGGACCGGAGGACGTGTCGTAGCATACATTTCAAGGCTTCATATGAGCCTCGCTTGGTCTTGTCGGCCCCGCAGATGGGCGAGGCCCCAAGATTCCGGTGGCTATACCAATCTATACATGATCGCTGGGTCTCTTTCCCAGACACAATACAGGTTTCGCTGCGTAAGCGCGCTTCATTTCAACAGCACAATCAGTAACACCAGAATGACAATTAGCACAACGATCGTCGTCATGCCCCAATTCTGCTTTGCCCGCTCCGATACACCCTTTAACCGTCTCTTTGCACCATCAAGCCGACCTTGGTGTCTATCCACACCCCTGTCGACTTCATCCAAGAGAGCGATCTGACCCTCGAGTTCGTCGCCCACCTGCATGGCCAAGTGACGCTGACGGCCAATAGATTCCCCCAGCCGGTCAAGCTGTTCGTCTTGTTCAGCAATCACTTGTTGGTGGTAGACGTGGATCTGTTGGTTGTCCATGCTCTCCGTGGGGTCGGGTGTATGAACGCGAGAATCCTCCTCGTCTGTATACCGGGAAGGAAAGAGCGCAGCCCGGTTCGCCTCGTCTTGGGTATCGAGTGATTCTTGCGAGGGCTCATCGCGGAAACGGACATTTTTGGCACCTTGGTTCTGCGCCGCCGCCGCATCCTGTTTCCGCAGGTTCGAGGCTCTCTGTTGGGCGGCGTCACTATGTTTGCGGGTCTTTGCTCGTTCAAAGTCTTCCTTCAATGCCGGATCATTCGGTGAAGAGAGTGTGTCTTCCGTCGTTGTAGAACTTTCTCCTTGAAACTGCCGTGACAGGTCATTGTATTGACTCCACAGCTGAGACAGTGATTCCTCCTCGGGAGAGCGGCTGGAAAGGGACTCGATGCCTTCTCGAAAGGATTCTAGTGAGCGGGCAATATTTGAGTCTTGGGAAGGATTGACGTCTAGATTTAGCGAGATGGCGCGCTGACGCTCGAGAAGAGAGAGTTTAATGTGGTCGGCGAGAAGCAGGAGCTGCGATGGATTGGACATTGTAGGTTCGGGAGAGGTCGAAGTTTGAGGCGAGTCGTTGCGGGGAGAGGCGGAGGGTCGCAGGAAGTTCCGCAGTTGACGCCAAGACACAAAAGATTGAACGAGAGAGGTTGAATGAAGATTGTAGACGTTCTATGTACGAGTAGAGAGTGTCTCAGAGAGTTGGACGAATCGCATGGACGAAGACGCTCTTTGTATAGAGAGTGCCTGGATGAAGTCAGCTGAAGCCTGGAAGAAAGAACACGAGCGGGACCGGGACGCTAGGCAAGCCAGCAAGAACCGACCTCTACTTGGAGGCGGGAGTCGCACCAGCCAAGCCCCAGGATGGTGAGTGGACGCCCAGATGCCTATACTTGTCATTAGTACATGCAAGGGCCCCCAATAGAGTCTAGGGTCCTCCCACCCGCGAAAGAGCCCTCATTAGCCTGACCTAGGCACTGTTAGGCACTGTTAGGGTCAGATGAGGCAATGGCGGGGCCTGGGCCCAGGAACAACGCATTCTTTCGCCGTCACCATCGTCCATCATGCAAAAGCCACCACATCCCGAGCCCCGAGGCGACGAATCTTGTCTCCACACGTCGTCTTCCGATTCACGTTCAACAACAAAACTGACTTCAACCAACCTGCGTCCTTTTATAAAATATGCCCCTCTGGCTGCCGAATGCGAAGCCCTCCCCTTCTCCTCCCCTAGTCCGACGATTCAACCCCGTCAACTTTCAAAATGGATGAAGATGATGTGAGATACTCTGCGGCAGGTTATGGCTCCCTGCCCTCGCCGAGCCCAATTCAGTCCCAGTTCGATACCCTCTTTGCCGAGTTCGCTCGCTCTCGTCCCCGAGTCTCACCTCCGCGATCGCCTTCCTCCCTGTCTTCCGCGCCAGTGTCGAGACCGCCGGAGAAGAAGACCATAGACCTCCGAGCACTGGACTACGTTACGGACTACGACACGAACTTGATGTGTCCGATCTGCCATGTCCCTTTTATCGAGCCGGTGGTCCTCGAATGCGATCACACATTCTGCGACTCTTGCCTAAAAGAATATCGTGAGGGAGTGTCTAGCGGCTCACGCAATCAATGTCCTTCGTGCCGTTCCTTTCTCTTGTCAACTTCTCACAAGGCTTCTCGCCTAATAGTCAACATGTGCAATGATATCCAGGTCAAGTGTCCCAACGAGGACTGTGAAGAGGTCATCGCACGAGGTTATGTCGAACGCCACGCAACGAAAGAGTGCCCACACGAGCGACTTCCGTGCCCAGACCCAGACTGTGGGAAATTGGTCAAGCGAAAGAACTATGTGGAGGAACAGTGCATCCACTCTTCACACATCGAGTGTGACTGCGGCGCCGTCATCGAGCTGGGCAAGGGTGATTGGTTGAGACACAAGGATGAAGATTGTCCAAATACTGGAGTCAAGTGCAAGCAATGTGGCCAGAGAATTTCAGCGAGGGACTATTTGAATGGCATTACAGGCCATGTTTGTGGGGCCGACGAAGACCAGCGCTGTCCCGGCCGAGGATACGGCTGCACAGAAGAGTTCTACCCCGATGATCGGGATGAACACGTAAAAGCGTGTCCACTGGCACGCATGGCTCCGTACCTCCAAAAACAGTCACAGTTGCTCAAATCTCTTCAGGAACAGCTTGCCATGGTCAAGGTCCGAAACGAGGTGCTCGAGGCTGGGTTTGACAAAATCAACGATATTGTCAACGACCGTGTCCTCCCTCATATTGGTCATTCTGACCAGTCTCAAGCTGGTGAGGCCTCGGACATTGAGGAAATTGAACGAGACCACATTCCGTCGGCCATATCTCACCGCGATCTCCTCATGCCAGCACATCTTCGCGCCTTGACACCTTCGCCAGACCCTGAGGCGTCCTCGATTTCCCAAACACAACAACACCTCCTTGCTTTACACGAGTCCTTGCGCGGGACCGTCTCGAATCTCGAACAGGACATTTCAGCCATGTCCAATGCACTTGCAGATCTCGACGCCCGATCGTCAATGCAGATAATGAACGAGACGTTGAGGATAAAGGAAGAGCTAGCCCATACCAACGCTGCCTTATTCAGTACCAGATCACAAGTGCAATGGCTACTGAACCGCGAACGGGTAGGACAACAGCAACAACAGGCCGGGCTAACACGTGGTCGCGCACCGTCGGCCCAACCCCATCCCTCAAACACAGCGTCATCGGCGAGGAGTTCGGTATCTGAAGGCACTGATGGGTCAGGTCAGGGGTCGAATCTGGAAAGTCAGCCTTCTGGGAGTGCGAATCTAGCAACAAGTCCTAGTTTCCGACCTCAGGTGCGAAGGCTCAGCGGCAGTCAAGAAAGAGTCAAATTGTGACATTGTTGTGACCGATCGTAATAATTTTCCCAACAAGTCGGTATGTCCAGATGCCGATCAGAAGAAACCCATATCAGAGGCTATATAGTGAGATATCCGTCAATCAGCGGGTCAATTCGGTACGCTTCACGCTTTACGTCCACTAGGTCCTGCAAACAGATGCGCTACTCAAATGAAAGAGCGTGTCTGACATTTACATGCGCTGAATGCGCGACGGCGAATGGAAGGGCGCAAGTTTCAAAGCACAGAGTTTCCCCAGGAAACGCCTTATCTTTGCGAGCCTTGCTGATTCGCTTGTTCTCGCTTTATGCTCGGGTGGACCTACTCTTTGTGGGGCGCGGTCTTCTGCGGTCCTCGCTTCAGCAACCAACTTGTATACCGATTACCGTCCAGGTCAACGCAGATTCATCAGGATTGGCCAGCTACATGTGAAAGGGGGAAAAGGGGGCAGTCTACCGCGATCGAGGATGGATGGCTTCAAGCACCAACGTCTGATAAGGCTCCGACAATCTGGCTAAGCACGGTGGTGGAGGATTGGGATTGGGTGGCCAGGGTGCATTAGTATACTCGTACCTCTGAAAGGCGCGGAACGTGGTGGTCCTGCCCATTGAACGAGTTGGTATTGATAATGATGTCTATGAACTAGATATACGCCATATGACTATTATGACCATGACCATGACTATGGCCATTGCCATTGCCATTCCTATGTATATCGCCATGTTTATCTGCCTGGCTTTCTCTTAGGGATCTATCACTATCTCCTACCGTTTTATCCGAATAGGTAAACGAAAGGCACGCACCTGTTGTGTAACAACAATAGAGCCACATTCACTCGTCAACCATCCTCAGCCCCTCGGACGCTAGAAATTTCATTGATTTTTGTTCTGCACTGGATTGCAACTCAGGTTGTGGTTGCTGTTCGAGTCACATACAACACAAACACACAGAGACACGCCCGTTTTGACGGTCTTCACCTCGCCCTCACCACGCGAAAAAGCGCAAAGCTTCATACATCTATATACACCGAAGATAAGTCCACGACGCAGTCAAGATGGGCCACGGCAGGACGCTCGAGTATCCCAAGACGTCGGTGAATAGGGTCAATCGGTATAATCAGCGAGGTGAGTCCGCGCAGCACGTACATAAGGAGAAAATGTTTTGGGAAGAGGGGGGGGGGCGAGCGAGCATTTCCTCTTGGGGCATTTCGCACAGAGCACGCAGAGAGAACAAGCAGATCGGAGAAGAGAAGATAGACTGATTCGATGGTCGTGTTGTGGTTGTGCTTCTTTACAGGAGGACTCCCCCTCTTAATATCTCCCCTTTCCGAGCGCTGAGAAGGGGGATAAGCACCCAAGTTTCGGCGTGATTTCTCCATCTCACTCTTTCTGCTTTTCATCGAGTTTCCCCATGGCCTCCTTATAAAGGAAAGAAAGATGCGCCGGAAAATCAACCAGAAGAAGGAAAAGAAATGGGCAGTCGGGGGAATCTCTCTTTGACCGCGTTTGCTCACAAACCCTGGCATGAAACAAACAGCAACGTACGACCTCGAACAAATCCACTCCATCATCAACACCAGCACCGTCGTCCACGTCTCGTTCAATACGCCCGACCCGTCGAATCCGTTCCCGGTCACATTGCCCATGGTCGGGGTGGCGGCGAGCTTCGAACACCCGTCGGCGTCGCTGGGTGAACCGCTCGACATCTACCTGCACGGCTACGTCAGTTCGCGGCTGATGAACCTGTCGCGCAATACCGCCCAAGCCGCGCCGGATTCGACTTCCCCTCCTGCATCCACGGCTGGCGGAGATGGAGGAGGAGAAGGGACGGCGCAAGGCCTGCCCGTGACCATCTCAGCCACCCTCGTCGACGGCCTCGTTCTGACGCTCACACCCAATACGCACGACGTCAACTACCGCTCCGCCACCCTCTTCGGGTACGCAAACCTGGTGACGTCGCTCGAGGAGAAGGTCTGGGCCATGGAGCAAGTCACGAACTCGGTCGTGCGCGACCGCTGGCGCCACACCCGCGTGCCCCCGGACGGCGCCGAGATGCAGAGCACCAGTATCCTACGGGTCAAGGTCGTCGGGGGCAGCGGCAAGGTCCGCGTCGGCGGGCCGAGAGACGAGCTGAAGGACTTGAAAAGGGACGATATCCGCGACAAGGTCTGGACCGGCGTCATTCCTGTGTGGGAGTGTTTCGGGGATCCTATCGAATACAGAGGCGTCGTGCAAGGGGATGGAAAAGAAAACCGTGTCGACAGTGTGCCCGAGCATGTGAGGGAGTTTGCGAGGGAGATGAGAGAACAGAACGAGAAGTATGCGTTGGCGGCCGTAGTGGACACAAGCCAGGATTGAAGGAGTGGCGACCGCTCGTTTCCTTTCCCACGACTATTTCAATGACTGTCCGGTCCGTTTTCATTCCCACCGAGGTGAAGCGGAGCGAATGAGAGGAGTTTCGAGTTGTCAAGGGATAGTAATACTCGGGTGTTCATCCCGCTTGCTAAGATAGAATGTCCTTGTCTCAAGCAGCGAGTCACTGTCCCTCCCTCATCTAGCAGAAGCGCAACACCAGCGTTGGGATTGACATGATGCCCATCAATCAGAAATTTATCCCTAGAATAGATCCCCCTGTTTATTGAATGCCCCGACAAACTTCCCCTCCCCATCGTTCACATCATGCAAGGGAGGTCCGGGTTCGGTTTTACGGTGTGGCTCGACTATTGAGACGGGTAATCTTCCAGAAGCCCTCCTCTCTGCTGGCTCTGCTGGCTCTGCACATGTCGTGTAACTCGGGGAACCCCGGTAATTGAAGAGATGCCAATCAAGGAGCGGCTGATGGGTGTGCCATGAGCCTGAAAAGGAGCCCGGGCCCGATGCCCACGCCGTGGGATCAACCCGAGGAATGGGAACACGGACATTTGCAGACACGTCTTTGTAAGAGGCGGTAAATGTGTCTCGTTTGTGTCAAAGGTCCCACAGTTTCAGAAGGTGGTGCCATGGGAGAGAGAGAGAGTGTGTGTGTGTGTGTCGTTGGCCCCAGTTGTGTTGGAAATCGTATTATGAGGATCGACTTTGTCCGTCTCGAGCACAGGATTGATATTTGGTCGACCCTGTTCACCGAATAAGAAGACGGGCAAGTTGTGATCCCTTGTGTTTGTGAATGAGCACCACCTCGCAGGCAAGGCATGGCAAGGTCGACGTCCTCTTCAACACCGCAACCCTCCCGTTGTCTCGTTTTGTACGGGGCGTGTGCATCGTGAACAATGGATGGACCCTCGGTTTGACATCTTGAAAGAACTCCGCATACTAGGCATTCTGCCATCGCCTCTCCATCGCAGCTTGTCTTCACCGTTCCTCACCAAGGCAACCTGCGCGCCACGACACCAAGTCATGGCCTGATCTTCTATCCCTCTATTATCTCTTTCCTTTTCGTCGATTCGCCGTTTGTCTTTTCCTTCCTACTCTCATTCACATCCAACTTAGTAGTCACTCCTTTTGTACACGTCTTTGTCGGTGCGCGGTAAACGAAAATTGGTCTCTCTGCTGTTCAAACGAATCGACCAAGTGGACAAACTGGCGCTGTCAGCTCTACCTCACTTGCGTACTTGTATATCTGAACAACTCGATCTCAAAGGCGTCCGTCCGAGCACCAAACAAGGCCATTTCGCTCACAACTCCCGAGAAACCCTCAGTCCTACCCTTTCGCAACCAACTTGTCAATGCCATCACTTCAAAAAGTCAAGACGGCCACAATGGACAAGTTGCGCTTGGCCCGCAAATGGCTCAAAGGAAAGCTGCGAGGACGACTCGAAAAGGCTCCAAAAGAGAGCAAACTCGTCATTGTAAGTTGAGGATGACATGCCTCATGCGGAACGAGTCACTGAACTGATATGTGCCGCCTGAAGGGACATCCAACTGATTTTCGACGCGAGAACATCACCTTGGGAACAGACGTTGACGGGTACAAGTCTCTGAGACGAGCACTTTTCCTACGGAACATTTGCTGATGTGTGATCTCTCAGAAACGCAGTACTCGTGGAACAGGCCCGGGAAGATGCCCAAGCGATGCACGTTGCCTCGAAGACACGGACCACAGACAACACAACAGGATAGAAGTACAACAGGCACAACACACAGGATTCTTCAGCCAAACGAAGAACAGCTATGCTTGAGGTCACGGTGAAAATGAACCCAAGCAACCGACATCTGCGGAGGAGGATAGCAGATTGTAAAGATGCGCATGTACTCGAAGAGCTCGCTGCTGGTCAGCTTGTGGTTTTCTGAGCTGTCATGCCGAGCAAGACCTTGGATAGGCTGATTCAAACAGGATAAGGGTACAAAGTTTTGTGGTGGCACTCAAATGATGAACATGGGCACTTCCTCGAGTCGCGATTTCTTGTCCTGTTCCTTTCCCTTCAACCCGACTTTTCCATTTGACTGTGGCACTGATCTGCGTGCGCCGCTAGAAGACTCATGCACCGTTGCTATTGCGCCAGAATCATCATCCAGATCCACGACAAACTTGCGCGCCGTGGAACGCTCACTTGAGCTGCCGCTAACTACAGCTTGCCTATGCTGTCGGACACTGTGGTGAGAGGTTCGAGACGTCGGTGCAGGTGCCAGACCGTCCTGCAAAGTTCCCTGCTGTTCCATGGACCCCAAGGTCGAGAGGTGACTGGAATTGTCACGTTTTGACCATGTGCGCCGTACGTGTGCATCTTCTTCGACCAGATTGCCAGTGCCGTCTTTGTTGTTCTGAATTCTAGCGAGACCCATGCCAGCCTTTGTACTGCTCGAAATCCCCTCCAAGCCAACGAGCGATTTCTTCTGTTGACTGCCACTGGCCATCAGTGGGGCGAGGCTGGTGCCGGTCCACAAGTCGTCGACGATCTTGTCTTCGTTGTCTTCGTTCTCCTCATCTTCGAGTGTTGGATCTCTCAGGACTCGTCGCAACGTCTTTTTCTGCTTGTTTTGCAAGGCAACCGATTTGAGTCGTCTCTTTGTCCTCTCAGACATGGGCGATGTAGGTTCAGGAAGGGGTTTCGGAGCTGCTTCTCGTGCTTGTTTGATCAATCGCCTGTACTCGGCATGATGCAGATGTGCGGTATATGACTGTGCGACCGTCTGGAACTCGTCTTCCACCATAATGTAGATGTCGTCCCCATCGTACCCTTCCCGCATGAGCCTGGATGGCAGTGAGAATAACGCTCCGCATAAAATCGACTAGCATCACTCACTCTGTGGACGGAGGGCCACGAATAGGAGACGACGAAGGAGCTCTTCCTAAGCATACAAGCATCAGTCACAATCTGTTCTATTCCACCTCAGTTCTCTGTTCTCCCGGGGGGAAACGCACGGCTTGGATCTGTCAAGGGAGTCGGTTTAGGGGATCGGCCCCGGTCAATCGCATGCGCGTTACCGGCTGACGACTGGTCGCTGCGCGATAGGGAAGATGCTCTCTCATGCTTGATCCGAGACGCGCTGGCCACCCGTGCTTTCTTTGCTGGCGGGAGACGGTCATCCGCCCAGGGCAAAGTGCGGGCCATGGTTCTGTGGTTCTGGAGGACTGCAGCCTGCAAAAGACCCTAACACCTGGGAAGCTCAAGGGGGATCTGCCCGTTGCGGATTGCTGTGTCTCAAAAGCAGTCTACCCGTATGCATGTCTGCCTTCTCGGTTGGACGCGAAACTCGGAGGTAGTGAGGACGTCGTCACAGCTAGGAAGTGTGAACAAACCGCATGTGCGAGGTTGGAGGCCACATTGAACGGCGGATGAAACAAAGTGCCCCGCTACACACCCTCACCACACACGTACGGGCTACGTTTCGTCCACCAAACAGTCTCTTTCAAGAGCTGAATGGTACGGCTATACCGAGTGCTCAATACGCAGATGGCTCCTGAGCCCCACCTTAGAGGTGATCGCAAAGAAGTGATTATACAAGAAACTTTGATATTTTGAGATGCCCTTTTTGCAGCCTTGAAACGCATCTAATCAGCCCAGGGTATCATTTTCCACTCACAGAGTGCTCATAACCCATATTGTCGCCACCAACTCCATGTAAACGTGGTCGGTCACGTTCTATCCCGCCCGCCCAAATGCACGTCGTAAGAAGATCTGAAATCTGCATGCGCAACTCGTAATGCACCCCCACCGATAGAACACCGTCGTTGTATGACCAATAACCTAGTTAATCAAAGCTCCTATGCCTCGCCAGGTTTCTTCGAATTGCAGCTGACAATCTTGACTTTGTCCGCGTGGAACTCTTGACCGCCATCACTCTTGAACTTGACGTCCTTAACGAGGAAAGTCCACACATCGTCGCAGAATCGATAGGTCTCCAGGTGACCCTGGGCAACTGTCAGCAGATCCATCATAGATTTGTCAATCTGATGCCGACCTTGAACGTCAATCTCGACTTGACCTTCTCTGCTAGTGTCTCAGCGATTGCGCGATCGAAGTTGCTCAGGATTTTCATAGCCAGTTGTGGTTCGATTCGGCCGTCATTGATGAGATCGTCAATGGTATCGATAAGCGCCTCGCCGATGCTATATAGACTGTCAACATCTTCTCCGGCTGGTTTTCTTGAGTGACTCGCTGGGTAGCGGGGCTATAACAACTCAACAGTCGCTGTGTCGCAAAGGGCAACCTACCTACTGCCGCGGTACAGCTCGTAATACTGCTGCGTCGCCATCCTTTTGCTCTCGTGGTCTCGTCTGTATTGCTCAAACTTTGAATACTCCCTGGAGACTATTATAGACCGAGGGGTTCCTCCTGCAACGAGATAGACCAGAGCTGAGGCGAGAGTGAATGCGGTGGGGATGGACGAGATAGATGAACCAGAGAAGTAGCCTGGATTGCCTGGCAGCCTTGGAGGCGAGGAGGGTCTGATTGGCGAAAATCATTGGCTGGAACATAATCTCCGGACTTGGCATTTACGAGGAATATGATTGGATACTTCCTGCTTCAGTCGTCATCCCCGCAATAACTTCTGGGCCTACCTTGGGCTGCACTACAGTGTAATAGTACTGGGTGAACCTGCGAGTCTCCCATTCTTTCGCAGCCGATCTGGGGCTGAAAGTACCCCCCATCTTGAGTATTTGCGATAATGAAACAACAGGCTCTAGCCCTGTCCACGGCCATCTGCTGTGGCCGGCGACATGTGTTGAAATGTACGACGAGCCAGAATCGCTTGAAGTCTACTGCGACGAGTACTAAGGAATCCGGGGACAAATCAGCTAATGCAGAGGACGTTGCGAGGAAGAAAGAAGCGTTCGACAAGCTGAAGAAGACACACAAGAGTATGGCCGACGCCGATGAGGAGATGCGACAAGCTATGGAGAATCTAGCAGGAGATGGGGGAGAAGCTGGACTCGAGCTCGAGGACGGCAAACCTGTTTCCATGAAGAGGGGTGTGCGAGAGAACATGTTCAGATATATCTGAGTTTGGTGGCTAAAACGGCAAACGACATGATCGCAGTCCTCACAAACGCCATGTGTTTGAGACCAAGTTTGTGATGAAGCTCGGACTCGGGTATCGTACAAGCTGAACAACGGAATCTGCTGAAGCTCAACAACCAGCAAAGAAGCAAAGCGCCACCCTAGCCATACAAGTTATTGATATCACGAACAAGAGCGTCCACGGAACTGCCTCCTGGACAATCGTACCACTGTCCCCCATCACGGATGCATCGAACTTTGTCTGCGAGCCTGACTGTGCAACTCTTTGTCACATTGTTCTCTTGACTCCTTTCGATGCTGGCTCGAAGCAGATCGATCCCTTCTCCCTCGTCACTGATGCATGAATTGAGCTGTTGGAAGTCGAGACCATGTTCCATGGCACAGCTCTGGACAAGGTCTCGTTTTGGGATATCCGGATACTCGGAGATCATGCAGTTGGTAAATCCGAGCCAGAGTTTGACTTCGGGATAGACTTTGGCTGCGCAAAGGAGGATAATGTTGCCCAGGCACTCGCCTGGTCCATGTTTACATGAAACCGCGTCGGAGTGAGGATCGATACTGTGGTAGAGTGAGCGATGGCTCATATCTCAGGCTGAGAGCAGGACGGCATACCTTCCAATGAATGACATTGTTAAATTGACCTTTTCATTCACTTGGATCATCGTGGGCACTATCAGCTCACGCAGGCAATCCCGTGCGTCTGGACATTTGGACATGACATGTATTTCCAGTGCAACTTTGTCTCTTGATGCCCCATCCTCCACGATGTCTGATGATCCTTGGGATAAGGTTGGGTCATAGTGGTGGTGGCAGACGAATGTAGTGCGGAAGAGGGAGAAAATCACCAGTATCGTGAGGATGGCTGGGATGACCCTTCTCACGAAGAAAGGTCGTCGAGGAGCATGTTGGTCGGGCAGAGCATGAGCCTTAGACTCGGCGTGTTTGTGTAGCGGGAGCTTTTCCTCGGAGTGTGGCGGCTGGAGAACCATGATGGGTACAAAGAGCATTCAGTGTACCGAGTATACTATTAGCGTGAGGGATGCGGTCGGGTGCAAGTGGCTTTTGCAGGTATCGTTATGTTGAGAAATGAGGGGGGAATATCGGGCTGCCTTGGCGAATCTGCTCGCCTGCAACCCCGTAGCGGGTGGCCTGCAGGGGCTTGTGCAGTGGAGTGGCAGGTACCGATGCACCATCCGGAGTACTCCGTGGCACCAAAGTGTCATCCAGGCGTCTGCCTGATGCGACAGGTTTGCGAGATGAGGTGACTTCATTTTCTCGATATGATGATATTACAACCCTCCTTGATAGATTACCGTGACAAATACAACAGCCTGTGTACCTAAGTCGTCCCTGTCAGGGTGAGGACAGGGGGGCATATTTCCAAAGGTACATGTCAAGATGTACACGTATATTACGTAGCGAGGTAGGTACATTAAGCATAAGACAGGTACCTACTCTAATTCCCCTACGGAAGGTGCCTAGGTAGGAAAGTGCCGAGTCCTTCCTCCCAAGCTGTCTACCTCCCGTGCACCCCTAATAATAATACCTACGGTGCTAGGTGATCCTTCAGGCCAGAAACCAACCGTGCCGTTATCGCAGCTTCAATTAGGCAAAATAGGTCACCTCGATTCATTTGAGGGGTTTCTTTACGTAGTACCTCCCTCTCTGCGGCCCATAGTGAGCTCCGAAAAGCGGTCGTAGCCCTGCCTTAAGGTAACCTGCCATGTGGCAGCGCAGTCAAGCGCAGTCTACTCGGTAGAGTACGAGGTATAGCAGACAGAATCAATTCGCCGGTCTAGCCCCCCAATTTTCTTCACCACCCACGCATCCGCTCCCAAGCCTCATTCACTAGCCACTGCATCTTATGCACAACAACCTCCTCCTGTTGGTCTCCGCCAAAAGCCTGTGCGCCTAAAGATGCCCTGAAACCTTTTTCAGATGGTTGCTGATTCGCACTCGAAAAAAAAAAAACGAAGCTTGAGGCTGACTTTTCCCCCTTCCCCTTCAAAGTCCCAGGGTCACATTCCGACTCCCCAGCGTCACATCTGAACCACGAGATATAGCGATCGAAACCTGTTCATTACGGGTACAATCTTCTTATTCAGGCCTGTTTCATCCATGAATCTTCACGATCTCGCTCCCGCAGCTTGATTCTCGAATTGACCTTGAAGAATTGAAAGATTTCGACAACCCTGACACCCTGCTGCTACTCGTAGATCGGCCCCGACTCATCCTTCGATGCTGACTTGGTCGCCTCGCACGTGAGTGTACAGGAGTATCAATTTGTGCACTTGTCAGCGATTCGAGCTTGCCAAACCCCCAATCCGCCACCCGACAATGTCGGAGCAAGCCTCACATCGGTCGGCCAGCAATGGAAGCCCGCCCCCTGATGATCTCGAGCACGAACTCGATGCCTTTGTACAACCGCTGCTTATTGACGATAACGTGGTACACAGCCTGGCATATAAGTTCTCCAAGGTATATGGGGAGCTAGCCTTATGCTCCGAAGAGCAATTTCTGCCTACTCCTGTCACCAAGTTGCCCACTGGTCATGAGACTGGTCAGTTCCTGGCCATCGATGTTGGAGGCACCAATCTTCGAGTTGCATTCATCGAATTGCTGGGCGACGCGGAGGAGCTGCTGCCTACAGCCAATGGAGTGGAACGATCACGTGAGACGATTCGGAATGCTCAACGTCCTCGTGTGCGACGGACGCTGGAGAAGGCGTGGCCCATCGGAGAGCATTTGAAGATGGACAAGACAGAGGACCTCTTCGCCTGGATTGGCGACTGTATAGCAGAGGTCGTTGGGGATCGGCTGACCTCAGAGATGGGCAAGGTGGATGTTCCCGACGAGCTCCCAATGGGCATCACTTTCAGCTTTCCCATGATGTAAGTCGAGACGGTGTATGGAAAGATCCAATCACTGACAAGGGACCTAAGGCAAACCGAGTTATCCGCTGCGACGTTGATGCCCATGGGGAAAGGTTTCACTATCAGTTCTGATCTCGACCTTGGATCTACTCTATTACAAGGCTATGCCCGCCACACACGCCGACAATCTCCCACAAGCTCGTCACCAAAAGCAAAGCGGAGAAAGCTCGGCCCCCTTCCCCGGCTCAAGATCACTGCCATCACCAACGACACGATTGCCACTCTCGCCTCTCTAGCATACACTGTCAAATCCCTCCCCAACTCTCGGGTCGTCGCTGGCATCATTGTCGGCACAGGGTGCAACGCTACGATTCCCATGAAGTTCTCAAACTTGGGAGAGGCCAAAGTCGAACCCATCAGAAAGAACAAACCTCATGCTACCGAGACGGTTGTGAATACTGAGATCACAATCGCCGGTGCTTGTGGCCCTTTACAGGATATCACAACGGAGTGGGATCGTCAATTGGACCTGGCGTGCGCGCGGCCGGGCTTTCAACCCCTGGAATACATGACTGGAGGCCGATACATTGGAGAGCTGATTCGCATTATTTTCTTTGACTACATGACGCGTGCCCACAAACCACCGGTGCCAGCAGCTTCTCTTCCCGCCACGGTTGTACACAGCTATAGTTTTAGCACCACCTTTGTGAGTGCCGTCGTTGCTCGAGCCCGGTCAGACTCAGAATTGGCTGGTGAACTAAAGCGTCGCATTCCTCCCCCCGAATCTTCGAACTGGGGATGGACACCGCATTCGGCCGGCGCACTCCGCAAAATTGCGCAGCTGGTTCAGGTTCGGTCTGCTGGGCTTATTGCAGCCGCCACAGTCGGACTTCTGGCTACTGTGGGCGAGATCGCACTGACAGAGCCTGGCAGCCCTGCGTCAGTTCCTGATGCGATGGTCTTGACCGACAGTAAGCCAGCATCGCCCAAGTCAAGCGTACCTTCTCTTCCACAACGTGACGCGAGAGATGGGCTGTCGCCCGCCCCCGGAGTAACAGCGTGGAAGTCAGGACCCGAGGAACTGGTTATCGCTTATACCGGCGGTATCATTCAACACTATCCCAACTTTAAAGAGCAATGCCAACGGTTTATCGACCGGCTGGTAATGAGAGCAGGTCCTCAAGACGGCGGTAAGAGTGTGTTCCTAAGAGAAGCTCGGGATGGCGGCATTATTGGTGCTGGTGTCCTTGCAGGGATGGAGACTCAGGAACGGGGCTTGTCATAACAAGCCTAGGCCTTGACGTGTGCGACATCTTCGTCGCATCTGGATATGCTCTTTTGCGACTTTTAGTTGCGGCCAGCAGGATGTAGGCACTGCCAGCCATTCGATTGAACAGATGAGACGATTGATCGACAGGAGACAAGTCTCGAGGATTCGTGGGAAAACCCCGGTGGTTGAATCATAGGGGAAATTGTGAACTCGAAGCACGCATGACGCAGGGTCAACCCCCTGCGTCTGGGAGGACTGTGAAAGGAGCTGCTGGACCGTTTAAGAAGCCTCGGGTCCAGTAGTACGGTGCACCATTAACGAGGTGGTTCCTCAATCTGTCACGGACCCCTCGTACAAACACTCCGTGCGACGGCGAGTGATGCTGACGCAGACATTCTCGTACCGAGTACTCGCACACGCTTGGAACACTTAGCGAAAGGAAAATTGGCCTCGTGGATTGGTGGCGAGGCAGGTTAGTGGGTTCCAAGGGCGCAGGCACGCAGGCTTCAACCCCGCGAGTATTAACCGAAGGATCCAAGGACCAGGTCAGGATCAGCACCAGCACAGACACCACAATGAAGGGGTCCCACGCAGGACTTGGGAGACCTCAGTGCGCGACCAAGTGTATTTTGAGGAACAAAGGCGGCCCGCTGAGTACATACCTTATCAGTACCAATATACATAGACTTCTAACAAAGGAGAGAGGTCTGGCTGGGTAATCATCGATTTGACTGATGATTACTCGAAAAAGACTCGATGTCATCAGATGAATCATGACCTCCCGATTCTGAAACGGAATGACCCCGGGAGACGATTCGACAACTTTTGGAGATCTCCGGCTGTTCTCAACGGCCAACCAGACATGAGTGGCTGCAGTGCTTGCATCAAGCTTGGACCATCTCTTTTGTGTCTGTGTGTTCATTGCCTTGAACGGGCCATCTCAGCGTCGCCGAAGTGTATCCATCAAACCGCTGCAGGTCTCAGGGTCCAGGCCAAATTGAGGCATTCTGATGGTGCTCAATGGTTGCTCCGGATGAGGTGGAAATATTCCGTCCAAACTGTATGAGGTACTGCTCGGCTGTGTGACCGGACTCGATGCTGTACTGGCTGAGGAAGGAATGCGTGAACCCCGGATGCGCGTGTACTATTAGGCGACTCGGTGAAATCGAAATTTGTGACCATTTTGCATGGGGACATTGTTGTTGGTTGGGATTGAACACGAGGATCGGTACATGTAGACGAGCTCAGCCAGCCCAAGTTGATCGACGTCTCGGAGACACGCGACCAGCACTTGGACAGCAATTCATGCGAGACTCCTGCTCCTGCCCTGTTGGGGTTTTCAGGGCTTTCCGGCTTCCTAGGCTTGATCTTCCCTAGGCACCCTCGGCACCGAGCGAATGTGGTCAGTAGGCTCCATGCTGGATACACGGGCTCTTAGCTCTTGCCCCGTCAGCTCTCGCTTTAACTCAAGAAGGGGCTGATTGACCGAAAAATGGCGTAAGGAGATCAGCCCATCCACCCTCTGGGCAGTGGGCACCACTGGCAACCCGCCCCGACCACCTTCCCCCGGTCGACGCATTTTTGGTTGCGGAATTCCTTTGCCCCCAAATTCCCCCCCAGGAGTCCAGGACCGGGTCTGGGTCTCAGGTGCCGATGGTGTTTTGGCTGGGCCTGGTGCGCATGTCGGTGTGGAGAGGGTCATCCTTTTCACGTTTTCACCTCAAGCAAGAACTGAGTGATGTGCACTGAACGGCCAACGGGCCCTCCACCATTTCCCACTCACCCGCATTTTTTGCTTTGGCTGCATGATCATTACATCGATCCCTCTTTCTTGTCCAAACCACTTACTTGTATACGACACTCGTCTTCTCGACATCGGCTCGGTCAAAGTCGAACTCGTTAACGTCGCTCGTTGCTCCTGCAGCAAAACCATCTCCCGTCGCCCCTCGGAAGCCTCTGTCTCCACCATAGTCGGTGTCGCCCATCGACTTGCTTCAACCTTCTCCGGTGCCTGAGAACCTGACTTGTCTGCTTCCCCCGTCGATTGCGAGAGGCGTACCTTGTCTTCTGCTCTGCTATGCGCAGAGTGTCGCAGAGTATCCAGTCTTAATGGGCGCAGTCGGACTTTCACCCTCTTGCTCGCTGCGCACGGGTTGCTTTACTTGGAAAGCCAGAGAAGAAACATGAGCCCAATTCCAACAATTGAAGATGTCCTTCATGTCTGGGTTAGGCGCGATGAACCAGATAATCCAGAACAGAGACCGAGTGACCCGAACGGACTCGTCCTTGAAGCTTGGGGTGGGTAGTGCCTTGTCTACCAGTCGTCGTACAATCCTCGCATAAGAAGCAGTGGCTGACAAAAAACTTTTCGGAGACAACAGCGCAGGGGTACATGGTCGGGTCACTCATCATCATGTCCTGCATCACATTGGCAAATATGCGGAAAGGTGTTTTGCTGCACAAATTGATTCTGCTCGAGGTAAGTTGGACCGATTGAACCCCTTGGGCGCTTTATGTTCTTGGGACAGTGACTGACCAGTTACGCGGGTTAACAGCTCGTCCTCGGGTATTGGCAAGGCTTCTTTATCCTGTTCAACCCACCTGTGTACGCCTGGTGGCTCTCTGTAGCCGCCATTCCGCTCAATATTTCCTGGTGGTTGCATAATGTCATCGCCTGGATGAAGTTAAAGCCTTTCCTCACCAAGACAGTCAGTCGGCTTTTTATCGGGACCGTAATCTTGGTGATACCGTATTGGATTGTCGAGATATATGCCAACTTCACCTACTTTCACAACGTCAACAAGGTCTTCTTGAAGACACGACCATGGGAAGCGCTGTGCCGGGATCCTTGGTGGATATTGGCAGCCTGCCTCCTGATATACAACATCAAGACCAAGTACGACTTGACACTAACGCAAATTGTTCGCATCTCTCCTCGTTTTGCCGTCATGCTTGGTGCCATGGTGCTCAGTATATGCTTTATTATCCTGGACGTCCTCTCGGTTACCTCGGCCCTCAAGTCTGTGTTACCGGTGGGCATCAACCCATTCTGGAAGCTGTCCTTTGTCTTCAAGTGCTTGACCGACTCGGTTGTCTTGGACGATTTCAAAACAGCTCTAGATCGACTGAGGGCATTCAAAATGAGCCGGCTTGGCAGCTTCGCTATGGATGCTGCAGACTATCGCAACAAAAAGCACACGGAGGACGTGAATGCCGCCAACAATTGGAGCACTCCGCCCCCTCCACCAACCGGGGATAAAGCCCAACCGATCGCCCCTCTGCCCATATTACCTAGCCCTGATAGCGACTATATCAAGCCTCGCTGGGAGGAGCTTAAGCATGGGCGCTCTGCCCATTTAGAAAACCGAGACTCGACAGAGATTGCTCGAAACGGCTCGAGAGATCGCGACCCAGAGGAGAATCCCTTTGACGCGATAGACTATGCCGATCCTCAACGAGAGTCCAGTGACACTCAAATGCTCAAGGCAAATTCCAGTTGGCTGCAACGGCGGTCCTCTGAAGAAACTTCTGACGCCGATATAGAATATGCCATGGCGGTCCGGTCAATGACCAATGACTCCATGGAACAACAACGCAATCGAAGCAAATCAATAGGTATTGCCAAGTGAGCTTCAGAGGTCTGCCCCGGAAGGGCACCACTTGACCATGGTTCTCCCACAGTTGTCACACAGCGCTGAGCGCATCACAGGGTCGTGACAATCTGTATTGGCCACCAAATTGTCCATGCAAAGGGTGAACCTGTCAAAGTCTGCCAGCCCAACACAGCTGTGGCAAGGCTTTGCAGAAAGGGCATGCTGCCTTCACCACCCGCCCGGCTCTGCCGTCACGACGGCAAGAGATAATGTTCAGGCAACGGACAACGCCGAGCAAAGAGCGGTACGCATCAGACCCGGCAACCAGATGCCTGACAGAAGGCAGAGGCATGGACTGAATGGACTGGCCTCGGAGCTCTGAATGAGCACGGAGCACCCAAAGCGGACTCTAAGAATGAGGAACGAAGGAATGGATCTGGGATACATTTTCCAAAATTTTATTGCAAGGATACCCCGTGATGTTGCCGACACGTTCATACATAGCGAACTGGCCTGGACTGGAAAAAAGGTAATTGCATTGGATTTATATGCCTGGACTGTTTCTTGTAGCGTTTATGTGTGGTTGCTTGTACACAAGTAATAAGCATTCAGTACTGTGTCCGTGTCTTTATGATTATGTGTACGAGGTACATGTATGTTTACAGAAGCTCGTGCACGAGTAGCTCGAGCAGGTGTTCGAGCGATACCCCCTGGCCCCGTATGCAGGGTGTCGCAATTTGACTGGTTCGCGGGCACCCAATGAAGCCCCGGCCGTTTTCTTGGCACAAGGACCCTCCCGAGCCACCCTCCAACGCAGCAGAACAAACGCGTCTCCAGGCCTGCGCGATTCCCCAGTTGATACTTTGTACAATTCAGTACTTTCTCTAATTCTTCAAACAACCCCCAACTTTTCTCCCTCGCCACGGAAGTCTGTTCTTGTCAGCATTGCGCTGGCGCTGGAGGACTTCTGATATGCCGGCAAATGTCTCAGTCGTCGAATCTCTTCTTCTGTCAGATCGATAAATCCATCCCCTATGGATGTCCTCTCGACTAGCACCCCCAACGGGGATCCTGGACCTACAGCGATATTAGAGCCCGTGGATCCCCTCGACGTCCTCGAACATATTGCCAATCTGATTGAGACTACACTGGGTGCTGCCAGGAGAGAGCTCGAAGCAGTTGGCAGCCTTTTGTCCAAAGCCAGCCGTCCCGAATCCCTCAACAAGTGTGCTCGATTTGCCACAGATCCTCAGATTACTCTCTATGCGCAAAAGGATGTTCGGGAAGAATTGGTTAATGGTCACGATGACACCCCAAGTCAGTAATGAATCGGGGCCTAAAGATAAACACTGCTAATCCATCAGCAGAAATCGAGCATCGATATACCCTCTCATCCGAGTTGTCCCCTGCACAAACGACTGTTGCCACGATCGCCTTTTTGAAACTCTCCGGCCCTCTCGATGCACGGAAGTCGATAGCCAGTCAGATTCAAGTCTTCAATCTCCCGGGCTCCTACAACATTGGTGGTGAAGCAAACACCGGCGGAGACGTTATCTCACCCTACGAAGTGGTCTACTCGCTCCTACACAACGTTCTCAGCCCATACTTTGAGGCGTACACCCGGCAGCGTGGCTCCATCAACCGAAACTGGTATGACCCCCAGGCGAAAGGGGGTATTCCTGGTGCGAAGAGAAGGATTGCGGAATTGGAAATGAGTCTCCTGCACCTGCAGCAAAACACTGATATCCCGATGATACACTTGCCCATGCATGAAGTGGTGATGGGAGCCGTACAAAATGCCGAAGCACAAGGATTGTCCCCTTCTGTGCAATTGATTCCGGCTCACGTCCTTGAGAATACCACCGTTCTGAACAGCATCCAAAATCATGTGATTGGGTGGATCAAGTCAATACAGAATATCACCAAACTGACCAAAGATGTCAAGGATGCGACACCCGCACAGACCTCTGCCGCGCAGGAAATCAATTTCTGGTTGTCATTGGAGGCTTCGTTGAATAAATTAGTGGAAGAAATAAGTCTCGACCATGTCCGTTTGACGTTGGAGATTCTCAAGAAAGCCAAGCGGCAACAGGCGGTTGTCAGTTTTGAAACCGACACCGGCTGGAGAGACGCCCTCGAAGTCGTGCGGAACTACAACACGCTCATGAGGGACTTTCCCCTGGATGAACTGTCTTCTGCAACGTCATTCCAGAAACTGGCAGAAGCTCTTGTCCTAATCTTCAATCATCTGAACAAGAAATGGAGGGTGTGCAACTACCCCATTCGCCGAGCACTCAGGCTGGTGGAGGGTATCTCGGAAGATATGAACGCTCAGATTCTTCGTCTGCTTCAAGGCCGCTCGATCATGTCACTCAGCTGGGACGAGTTTACCGACCTAATGAACTCAGTCAACCTGGTCTGGGAGACTTGGGATGATCAGATGAAGAGTTTCACAGCTGTTGCCCGGGAGATTACAAGGCGCAAAAACACCGACTTTGTGCCCGTGAAGATAATTCCACGACACGCTCAAACTCAAGAACGACTGCGGTACGTCTACCGCTTTCGGAACGACCACGAACAGCTACGTCGGACGATAATCAACGTTCTTGGATCCAAAGCCCACACAACGGACTCGACTCGACCAGCCGATGATGGTGGAGCTGCTATCATCGAGGAACTAGGAGATGTGGATGCCGTTGAGGAAGTTGCTGGAGCCTATGACATTGTCCGCCATGTGGATGTGTTAGATGTGTCTCCGAAGGGGACAGAAATTTGGGTGCAGGCTGAAATGCAGTATACTGAACGCACATCTCGGGTGGAGGATTCAATCATCACTAGGCTCAGAGATCGGTTAGGCAAAGCGAAGACGGCAAACGAGATGTTTCGAGTGTTTGAAAAATTCAACGCTCTACTGGTCCGCCCCAAGGTTCGGGGCGCTATCGCCGCATATCAGACCCAGCTTCTGGACAATGTCAAGAACGCTATTGCTTCCCTCCACGAGCGATTCAAACAGCAGTACGGTGGCTCCGAAGCACAGATGATGGCTCAACTTCGCGACATCCCTCCTGTAGCAGGGGCAATCCTGTGGGTCCGTCAAATCGAAGCACAGTTAAACAATTATATGTCCAAGGTTCAAGCGGTCCTGGGAGAAGACTGGATGCTACATACCGACGGGGAGAAGCTCGAAGCAGAGAGCAATCTGTTTCGCAAGAAGCTAACAACCAGGGATATCTATGAGGCATGGCTTAGGGATGTTCAAGCGAGGGACATCTCTGTCACCGGCAGACTGTTCTCTATTTCTCGGAGTCGTACAGCTAATGGTGCCATGGAGCTCATTGTGAACTTTGACAATCATGCCATTTCCTTGTTCAAGGAGGTCAGAAATCTGAGTTGGCTAAACTACCAAATTCCACATCGGATAGCGACAACCGCCAAACAAGCTCAGCGTGTATATCCATACGCTTTGAGCCTTATGGAGAGTGTTGCAGGGTACTTTTCCGCAGTCCGAGCCATTCAAGAAATGCCCAATATTGCACCTCTGATGGCCGGGTATGAGAAGGAAGTGCAGAGTCTCTTTGCCACCGGCATCAAACTCCGCTGGGACTCTTTCATTCACTCTTATGAACTCCACATCAAAGGGAAAGCGACTACAAATGACTCGGCTCATGTGCAGTACGTCCGTGATTTGGCTACAGCGGTCACAACTCTGCAAAGCAAGACTGCGACTGTGCGAAGCCTCGACCAAAGCATCCAGGTTGCTCTTTCTGAGATGAAGAGCTGCCCTTATACAGCCAAGAATTTCCAGGCCCAAATGGACATCATCCAGAATGCTGTGGACAAGATGAATCTGGAGAACTATTCAAATCTCTCTAATTGGGTCTCGCAGCTGAACTCGCAGTTGCGCCACATCTTCGAGGAACGACTACGAGCTGCTCTCAGGTACTGGATTACTTCTTTCACCTCCACAGACGAACAATACCCAGTCTCAGAGGAGTCAATCCATCATGTTCAGTTTCCCCTTACACAAATCGAGATCATGATGAATAACCAGACAGTTTTCGTCGATCCACCTCTCAACTTTGTCAAGGCTTCATGGGTGCTCCAGCTAGAAGACTGGTTGGAAGTCTTGTGTCACTTGCCTCAGGTCAGAGCTTCTCGATACTCGGTGACTGCAGATATCGGTTCACCGCAAGCATCCCCTTCATTCACAGATCTACCGCTGCAGAATGTTGAGGTTCTGCAGGCTGCCTACAACGCCATCGACACCAGAATTGAAAATATGGCGGTTTACCTTGAGGAGTGGTACACCTACCAGAATCTGTGGGATCTCCGGAGCGATCAGTTACATGAAACCCTGGGTGATGATCTCGCTCAATGGCACCAGCTCCTACAAGAAGTTCGACATGCACGTTCAACGTTTGACACCTCCGAGGGACGCAAGAGCTTCGGCAGTGTGGTCTTCGATTATGAGCAGGTCCAATCGAAGATTACACAGAAATATGATCAATGGCAATATGAGATAACCAGCAAATTTGGCGGCATTCTCGGCAATCGTATGGCTGAAGTGTACACTGATATGAAACGATCACGTCTCGAGCTCGAAAATCACTCCTTAGAGGCGTCATCCACTGCACAAGCCGTTGCATTCATCACCATTGTCCAACAGTGCAGACGAAATGCTATAATATGGGGTCCTGAAGTCGACATCTTCAGACAAGGCCAGACAACCCTTTCAAGACAGCGGTACAATTTTGCTAGTGACTGGCTTTCTGCAAACCAAGTGAGCGACGAATGGGATGCTTTCGAAGAGATATTGAATCGCAAAAGCAAGATTGTTGAAGATCAGACGGATGCGCTACGGGCCAACATCATTGCAGAAGACCGCGTTATCGGCAGCCGCATAGCTGATGTGGTTGCTCAGTGGACGGAGGAGAAGCCAGTTTCCGGAACAATTCCACCTGCAGAAGCTGCTGAGCTCTTACGTGTCTACCAAACTCGCATGGAGAAGTTGCAAGCGGAAGCTGAAACTGTCTCGAGAGCGAAAGAAGCCCTTGCGCTGCCATCTTCTCGAGATGATTCTTTGACTGCCGCCTTGGAAGAAGTGAACGATTTCAAGTCTGTCTGGTCCGCCCTGTCTACGATATGGGAAAGCATCAACGAGCTCCGAGAGATGCTATGGACTAGCTTACAACCACGAAAGCTTCGTCAATCATTGGACGGATTAGTGAAGATGACGAAAGAGATGCCCAGTCGAATGCGGCAATATGCAGCTTTTGAGCATGTCCAGACGGTTCTCCGCCAGTTGATCAAAGCAAACCCGCTACTGAATGACCTCAAGTCGGATGCCATTCGAGAAAGACATTGGCTAAAGATCTACAAAGCCTTGAAGCCCAACAAGAGATATTCTGAGGTGTCGATGACTCTCGGGGACGTCTGGGATCTTCAGTTAATCACCAGCGAAGCAACTATCCGGGACATCATCGTCCAGGCAAGAGGAGAGCTCGCCCTCGAAGAGTTTGTTAGACAAGTAAGGGAGACTTGGCAAAGCTACCCGCTTGACCTGGTGAATTATCAGAATAAGTGCCGGCTCATTCGGGGCTGGGATGACCTGTTCTCCAAATGCAGTGAGAATTTGAATTCCCTTCAAGCTATGCGGCACTCCCCATATTACAAAGAGTTTGAGGAAGAAGCCTCATCATGGGAGGACAAGCTAAATCGCGTCCATGTTCTGTTCGATATCTGGATCGATGTTCAAAGACAATGGGTTTACTTAGAAGGCGTCTTCACCGGAAACAACGATATCAAACACCTTCTACCCACCGAGTCCAGCCGATTCTCCAACATCAACACAGAGTTTTCTGCCGTCATGAAGAAGGTCTATAAGTCTCCATTTGTCATGGATGTGCTTGCCATTCCTGGTGTACAGAAATCCTTGGAGCGGCTAGCAGAACTCTTGACCAAGATCCAGAAGGCCTTGGGCGAGTACCTCGAACGGGAGCGAGTATCATTCCCTCGATTCTACTTTGTTGGTGATGAAGACCTGCTTGAGATCATTGGCAACAGCAATGATAGCAGCCGCGTCGCAAAGCATTTCAAGAAGATGTTTGCTGGGATATCTGGCGCCGAAGTGACCGATGACAACACGATCGCGGCCATTACTTCAAAGGAAGGCGAGGTCGTCAGGCTGAAGAAGGAGGTTTCTCTCATCAAACTCCCGAAAATCAACGATTGGCTTACAGCTCTCGACACCAATGTTAAGCAGACCTTGGCTGAATTACTTGCCGAAGCGGCCACTGCTTTCAGGCCGTTGTTTACTGCTCCTGAACTAGATGTCAATCAATTCCAAGAGTACATGACGCGATTCCCGGCCCAGATAATGATCCTCGCCGCCCAAGTTGTATGGACCGAACTTGTTCAAGGAGCACTTGAAGGTGGTGGCCAAGAATTACCAAAGCTTCACGAGTATGAAGTCCGTCTGCTCGACGTTCTGGCCGAGAGCGTGTTGCAAGACCTCCCGGCCTTGACTCGCAAGAAATGCGAGCATTTCATTACCGAGGCTGTTCATCAACGAGACGTCATTGCAAAGCTCATAAAAGCGGAAGCAAATACACCGGGACACTATCTCTGGCTTCTGCAAATGCGGTATGTTTATGACCCCAATGCAGATCTAATGAGCCGCCTTCGCATCCAAATGGCGAATGCAGACCTGGATTACGGCTACGAATACCTTGGAGTGCCAGACCGCCTGGTTCGGACACCACTAACTGATCGATGCTTTTTGACACTTACACAAGCACTTTGCCAGCGACTTGGGGGTTCACCATATGGTCCTGCGGGAACTGGGAAAACTGAGTCAGTCAAAGCCCTAGGACTTCAACTGGGGCGCTTCACTTTGGTGTTCTGCTGTGATGACACTTTCGACTTCCAAGCGATGGGCCGCATATTTCTAGGGCTTTGTCAAGTAGGGGCTTGGGGATGTTTTGACGAATTCAATCGTCTTGAAGAAAGAATCCTCTCGGCTGTGTCGCAACAGATCCAAAATATTCAGATTGGTCTCAAAAACACCACCAACGAACAGAAGGCACAAATCGACCTGGTGGGCCGTCGCTTCAGAGTCAACCCAAATTCTGGCTTGTTTATCACAATGAATCCCGGTTATGCTGGCCGTTCTAACCTGCCGGATAACCTGAAGAAGCTCTTTAGAAGTGTCGCAATGTCAAAGCCAGACAAGGAGTTAATCGCTGAGGTCATGCTTTTCTCGCAGGGCTTCAAGCAAGCCAAACATATCTCGCACCAGGTCGTGCCCTTTTTCGATCACTGTGCACAGCGACTTTCGAAGCAACCTCATTACGATTTCGGTCTGAGAGCACTGAAAAGTGTCCTCATTAGCTCCGGCGGTCTCAAGAGAGTGCGTATGCAAACTCCAGAGGGGCTTCCAGGAGACGAGAGCATCATTGAACCGCAAATCATTGTGCAGAGCATTCGAGAAACAGTGTCTCCAAAATTGATCAAGCAAGACGTCGAAACCCTTATTGAAGTCCAGGCAGAAGATTTCCCCGGCGTGGAATATGTCCCTGCAAGCATGACCAAGCTGATGGAGGCAATCAAGCAAGTGATGCAAGAACAGCACCTCACCGAAAGCGAGGCTTGGATGACGAAGATTCTCCAGTTGTATCAAATTCAAAACATCCACCATGGTGTGATGATGGTTGGACAATCTGCCTCTGGTAAATCTGCCATCTGGAGAGTTCTGCTCCAAGCCTTGCAGAAAGTGGAGGGCATTGAAGGTGTGTATCATGTAATTGATCCGAAGGTCATGTCAAAGGAAGCACTCTATGGCAGTCTCGACAGCACGACGCGGGAGTGGACCGATGGCCTGTTCACCGCCATCCTGCGCAAGGTCGTTGACAACCTTCGTGGTGAAGACAGCAAGCGGCATTGGATCGTCTTTGACGGAGACGTCGATCCCGAATGGGTAGAAAACCTGAACAGCGTTCTCGACGACAACAAATTACTCACCCTGCCGAACGGTGAAAGACTGAACTTGCCACCAAATGTTCGAATCATGTTCGAAGTCGAGAGTCTCAAGTATGCCACGCTTGCCACGGTCAGCCGTTGTGGCATGGTGTGGTTCTCCGACGACACAGTTAGCCCGTCCCTCATGATAGACCACTTTCTTCAGAAGCTCGCGGACCGAACGTTTGAGGACCTGGATGATGAGATTAAAGCAGCTGGCCTCAGTACGAAAGCTCAAGAGACACAGCGGGACGTGGTCGAGACCTTGAAAGGGTTGATGCAGCGCGATGATTTTCTTCTGAAAGCACTGTCATCAGCGGCAGGCCACAAGCACATCATGGAGTTTACAACAGCCAGAGCGCTCGGCAGTCTGTTCAGTCTGCTGGCTAAAGGATGCCGCACCATTTTGGAGTACAACATGAATCATCCCGAGTTTCCCCTGGATTTGGAGCAGACAGAGGCTTTCATCTCGAAGAAGCTTCTATTGGCAATTGTCTGGAGTTTCGTGGGCGATGCGTCTCTCAGCATCCGTAAGAACTTCGGAGACTTCCTGTCCTCGATGACGAACGTCGACCTCCCCACCCTCGACAGCTCTACTTCGCTCATCGATTACGACGTGACCCTGCCACATGCTCAATGGGTGCCATGGCAGGCTCAAGTACCGACGGTTGACTTGAACACGCATTCAATCACCCAGACTGATGTTATCATCCCTACGATCGATACTGTCCGCCATGAGGACGTCTTGTATTCGTGGTTATCGGAACACAAACCTTTGATGCTGTGTGGTCCACCTGGTTCTGGTAAAACAATGACTCTCTTCAGTGCCCTCCGCAAACTACCCGACATGGAGGTTGTTGGTCTCAACTTCTCAAGTGCAACGCAGCCAGAGCTTGTCATCAAAACATTTGAGCAATACTGCGAGTACAAAAAGACCCTCAATGGGATGGTACTGTCCCCCACCCAACTGGGGCGGTGGCTGGTCATTTTCTGCGACGAGATCAATCTTCCCGCCCCTGATAAATACGGAACCCAGCGCGCTATCAGTTTCCTGCGACAGCTCGTGGAACAAAATGGGTTTTGGCGCCCTACTGACAGAGTCTGGGTCACCTTGGAGCGTATTCAATTCGTCGGCGCCTGCAATCCACCTGAAGATGTGGGACGTCATCCCATGGGTGACAGATTCCTGCGACACGCGCCCGTGGTCATGGTTGACTATCCCGGCGAGGTCTCCTTGGCCCAGATTTATGGCACCTTCAACAATGCGGTTCTCAAGGTGGTGCCCTCATTGCGAGGATTTGCGGAGGCGCTAACACACGCCATGGTTGAGTTCTACCTGAAGTCTCAAGCTAGATTTACGCCGGACATCCAGCCTCACTATGTTTACTCGCCTCGAGAACTGACCCGATGGGTCCGCGGCATATATGAGGCTATAGCCCCTCTTGAACACCTCTCCCTGGAGGGACTGATTCGAATCTGGGCGCACGAAGCATTGCGGTTGTTCCAAGATCGACTCGTTGAACAAGAGGAGCGGGCATGGACTTCTGATATGATACGACAGACCGCCCTGGAACACTTTCCAACTGCTGATATTGACCAAGCTCTACAGGGGCCAATCCTGTTCTCTAATTGGCTTTCGAAGAACTATGTCTCTGTTGAGCAAGAACAATTACGTGAGTTTGTCAAGGCACGCCTCAAGACATTTTGCGAGGAAGAGGTCGATGTCCCTCTAGTGCTGTTCAATGATGTCCTCGAACATGCTCTGCGCATCGACCGTGTCTTCCGACAACCACAGGGCCATCTCATCCTAATAGGCACCAGCGGTAGTGGCAAGACCACCTTGTCCAGGTTTGTAGCCTGGATGAATGGTTTGACCATCTTCCAGATCAAGGTTCATGGGCGATATTCAGCAGAAGACTTCGATGACGATTTGCGGGGTGTTCTCCGCGCGTGTGGCTGCAGAGGCCAAAAGATTTGCTTCATCATGGACGAATCAAATGTCCTGGACTCTGGTTTCCTAGAGCGGATGAATACTTTGCTTGCCAACGGAGAAGTACCTGGTCTTTTTGAGGGAGATGAGTATTCTGCTCTTATGACAGCCTGCAAGGAAGGCGCTCAACGACAAGGTCTTCTCCTGGATTCGCAAGAAGAGCTTTACAAGTGGTTCACCCAGCAGATTGTGCGCAATCTACACGTCGTGTTCACAATGAACCCCCCACAGGATGGTCTCTCCTCCAAGGCAGCTACTAGCCCTGCCTTGTTCAACAGATGTGTTCTCAACTGGATGGGCGATTGGTCAGATCAAGCTCTCTTCCAAGTCGGCTACGAACTGACACACTCGATCGACCTTGACAAGCCAAATTTCTCCGCCCCTGACAGCATTCCTGTCGCATATCGTGGTCTCTCGCTCCCTGCCTCGCACCGCGACACTATTATCAATGCAATGGTGCACATACACTACTCAGTACAGAAGACCAACGAACGGTTGGAGCGTCAGCAGGGCATCGTTACTTATCTTACTCCTCGGCATTATCTAGATTTCGTTACGCAATTTCGCAAACTCTTCAGGGAAAAACGTGAAGATCTGGAAGAACAACAACGACATCTCAATGTCGGTCTCGATAAGCTTCGAGACACAGTCGATAAAGTACGCGACTTGAGAGCTAGCCTGGACCAGAAGAAGCGTCAGCTGGAGCTCAAGGATGCCGAGGCGAATGAAAAGCTCCAACGAATGGTTGCAGATCAGCGAACCGCGGAATCTCAGAAAACCACCTCCATTGAGATACAAACAGAGCTGGAGAAACAAGAGAAAGAAATCGCGAGCCGGAAGGAGATTGTGCTAGAAGACCTAGCCAAGGCGGAACCCGCGGTCATTGAAGCGCAGCGAAGCGTCAGCAACATCAAGAGACAACATCTCACCGAGGTGAGATCGATGGCCAATCCTCCATCTGGTGTCAAGCTTGCTTTGGAATTGGTTTGCACCTTACTTGGTCACAAAGTCGATAATTGGAAGGCCATTCAAACTGTTGTTCGACGAGACGATTTCATTGCAAACATCGTCAACTACGACAACGAAAAAGATATGACACCAAGCTTACGGCAGAAGATGCGGCACGACTTCCTGTCCAACGATGACTTTACATTCGAGAAGGTTAACCGTGCAAGCAAAGCATGTGGACCTCTGGTACAATGGGTGGAAGCCCAGGTCAATTACTCTGAGATTCTAGACCGCGTGGGACCTTTGCGAGCGGAAGTAGAGCAACTTGAGGACAAAGCTCTCCAAACCAAGGCAGAGGCCAAAGCCATTGAGAACAGGATCCTCAAGCTGGAGGAGAGCATTGCAACCTACAAGACAGAATATGCTGCCCTGATCAGTGAAACCCAAGCAATCAAGAGCGAAATGGCACGAGTTCAGACGAAGGTAGACCGCAGTCTACGTCTGCTCGACAGTCTGTCTTCCGAGCGTGTCAGATGGGAGGCAGCCAGTAAGTCTTTTGAGACGCAAATCCAGACCCTGGTTGGGGACGTGGTCATTGCATCGGCATTCCTGGCGTATGGAGGTCTCTATGACCAACAGTTCAGAAAGACCATGGTCGATGATTGGATGCATCACATGTCGCAGTCTGGCATTTCTTGCAAGACTGATGGCTCAGTTCTTGGATACTTGTCGTCTGCTGACGAACGACTGCAATGGCAGCGCCACTCTTTGCCAGCTGATGACTTGTGCATGGAGAATGCCATCATGCTCAAGCGCTTCAACCGATATCCATTGATCATCGACCCACCCGGCAGGGTGACGGAATTCTTGAAACAAGAGCATCAAGGGCGGAAGCTGACAGTGACAAGCTTCTTGGATGACGCCTTCACCAAGCAACTTGAAAGTGCTTTGCGTTTTGGCAATCCGATCCTGATTCAAGACGCCGAATATCTGGATCCTATCTTAACCCATGTCTTGAACAAGGAATACCAGAAGACTGGTGGACGAGTGCTTATCCAACTTGGCAAACAAGAGATCGACTTTTCAGAGCACTTCCAATTATATCTATCCACTCGGGACCCTTCAGCGGCCTTTGCCCCTGATGTTTGCAGCCGGACTACCTTCATCAACTTCACCGTTACCCGCAGCAGCTTGCGAACACAGTCTTTGAACGAGGTTCTCAAAGCCGAGCGTCCAGATGTCGACAAGCGAAGAACAAACTTGGTCAAAATGCAAGGAGAGTTTGACACAAACCTGCGGCAACTGGAAAAGAGACTTTTGCAAGCTCTCAACGAATCTCGGGGCAATATTCTTGATGATGACAATGTCATTCAAACTCTCGAAACGCTCAAAAAGGAGGCCGCGGTCATCACAAAGAAGGTGGCAGAAACGGAGGGAGTCATGGCAGAAGTCGAGCGCATTACACAAGGCTACAGCCACATTGCCAACGCCTGCAGTGCCATTTTTGCCTTGTTGGAGCAGCTTCACCACCTCAATCATGGGTATCGGTTCTCGCTGCCATACTTCATCGACATATTCAACTCAGTCCTCCATAACAACCCACATCTTGCCAACAAGACAAATCATGAAGAACGTGGCGAGATCATCCTGAAGGACATATTTGTTGAGACTTATCGACGAACGGCCCTATCTCTGTTGCAAAAGGACCGCATCACACTGGCAATGCTGTTGGTCCGCGCCTCCCCATACAGCTTTGATCGATCTGCCATGGAATTGATATTAGAAGACCGACCGCACTCCCGGGGCACTGTACCCACGGACACTCGCGCTGAGGACGTGTTGGCAGCTGTCAAGCGAATTCCCGTTTTCAACAGCGACAAGGTCGACCCCTCAAGCAAGAATTGGTTGCAGTTTCTCTCGGCCGAACGTGCAGAGCACTGTGTTCCCACCATTTGGAACGATACCGACAGCGTGATTGATCAAAACCTCTACAAATTGCTCCTTGTGAAGCTGGTCCGACCGGACAGGTTTTTGCCCGCAGCTCAAACACTAGTCGCAGGTGTTTTTGGACCCGAAATCTTCCAGGGTACTGATGACCTAGCAACGATTGTCAACCAAGTCAATTCCTCGATCCCAATTGCACTCTGCTCCAACCCCGGGTTTGATGCAAGCTACAAAGTCGATGCCCTTGTGGAGAAGCAGAATGCAAACTGCGCCAATGTTGCGATGGGCTCTGATGAAAGCGTTGCAAGTGCTGACAAGGCCATCACCAGTGCCGCCGCAAATGGTACATGGGTTTTGATCAAGAATGTCCATCTCGCGCCTCAATGGCTACAGACTCTAGAGAAGCGCCTCTCGGCACTCAAACCGCATAACGACTTTAGGTTGTTCCTCTCCATGGAGTCAAGCCCCAAAATACCCGTTAACCTGCTCCAAGCCTCCAGAACGCTCGTCTATGAGCAACCAGCGGGCATGAGAGCAAATATGAAAGACACACTGACTGTGGTATCCGACCGAGGCACCCGAACACCTGTCGAGAAGGGCCGGCTTTACCTTCTTCTCTGCTTCCTTCATGCCGTACTTCAAGAGCGACTAAGATATGCCCCAACTCTCGGTTGGAAAGGACTTTGGGAATTCAACGATAGTGATTACGAGTGCTGCGCTTTTATCATCGACGTCTGGATTGATGCAATCGCGCAAGGAAGATCGAATATCGCACCTGTCAAATTACCTTGGGATCTACTTCGAAACTTGATTACCGAAATGTACGGTGGAAAGATCGATGATGAAGGCGACTTCTCATTGCTCCGTGAGATTGTCAGCAAAGTTTTCGACCCTGCAGCATATGAAAGTGACCATGAACTGGTTTCCGCTCCTGACGAGGGCCAGGCACTCAAAGTTCCTTCTGGAACGACTATCCGCGACTTCATGAGCTGGGTGGAGCAACTACCTGAGCGAGAGCCCCCAGCGTATCTAGGGCTACCTGCAAACGCGGAGAAACTATTACTGATGGGCCAAGGAAGAGAAACAATTGGCAACCTTGCCAGGATTACGGATTTACTCGAGGAAGGAGAGCAGACCTTGTCGTAGGAGCATGGCAGCCTTTGAGTCGGCAATTTGGAAAACTGTTGGGCTGAGGTTTGATTTTCATGAAACAGAAGGTTGTTTCAATCATGACCATAGAGTGTCGCTGTCCACATGGACGATTTTCTCCTTTGTTCGAAACGAAACTGGTGTTCGCTTCGTTCATTGCAGCCGCTATTATTGAGCGCATGGCGAGAGGCGTTTGGAGGTTATGGTTTCGGGTATACCCTGTGTCGTTCCGCCGCGCTGCGGTTTCTTGTCGTAGATAGATTCCATGAAGACACTTACTTATTACATATTTTCCCCCTCCCTCGTGCTAGGTATTTGATGAATAGAAGGTTGAGGTTACTATGGTCGAACAAGGCACAACTCCCACGAGGCTGAATATCACGTGGCTATCCGTCCCCGGAAAACCTTCCCAGGCTGAACTGCGGACACTTCATTCAATGTGAACGCTGCGGGGAGATGAAGATCAAATACACCAGGTGGCCACATCTGGTCAGGTATATACGTTTCTGCTGGAGGCTAGTGCAGAAGCCTTGAGCTGAGAATCTTGCATCAATCCGGCAGCAAAAACTCGAGAGGAACGCCGAGAACGCAGACGTGAGACAGAGCCAGGATGAACTCCTCACACCCATAACTCCGACAACTGGAACTCGTCCAACAACGAGCCCGCCATGGCTGCAGTCGATGATACTCGGCGCAGCCATGATGTACACCGACCCAGCGTCGCGATACCTCAGTCTCTTCCTCCACAACCACAGACCATGACGCCAATTGCGCTTGATATGGCCTCTGATCGAACACCGGCGATTTCAATCGACCCAATTGCACTCATTACGCAGGAATGCATAACGATCACGTCTGCCATGCGGAAGCATGCCCGCTGGGCGCAGTCTTCGGTGTCAGCCATTCTGGGGGGAGGGGCCACAAGATTGCAAGAGAAGGACTTTCTACGCTCATCCTCGCAAAGTCGCCGGAGCAGCAAAGGGCCTGTGATACTAGATCCTGGCATGGCCAGGCTGAACGTGCCCAACACCTCGGACGATGAAAATTCCAGCCTGGCCAGTCGATGGGGTCTGCGCGGCCGGAAGGGCAAGAGTCTGCAGGATAACCCCTTGCTGACCGCGTTTGCACGTCTGAGAAGAGATCTGGCTGGCTGTCGAGATGTGACAGCCGTGGATGCTCCCGAATTACTGCACCCTTTTCTACAGGTCATACGCAGTTCTTCGACGAGCGCCGCGATTACTAGTCTGGCGGTGATTTCGATCACAAAGTTCTTCGCATACAACATTATCACGGTCAGATCACCACGAATCTCACAGGGGATGCACCTTCTTAGTGCGGCAATCACCCACTGCCGATTCGAAGCGAGTGACACCGCGGCGGATGAGGTCGTCCTGCTGCGTATCCTGAGGCTCATGGAGTTGATCATATCCAGACCGGAAGGCCAGCTGCTCGGTGACGAGAGTATCTGCGAGATGATGAGTACCGGCTTAAGCATGTGCTGTCAGTCAAGGCTTTCGGAGGTCCTCAGGAGGTCTGCCGAGATGGCCATGGTCACCATGTGTCAAGTGGTGTTTAGCAGATTGAAGTCGTTAAAGGTGGAAGAGATACCAAAGTCAAGGAGTCGGTCGAATACGAGAACAACTCTGCTTAGTGCTACCGAAGAACTAAAGATTGAACCCCCCATGACAGGCAGCGTCATGGGAAATGGTGAGCCAGAACGACCAAGCGTTGACGTTGACGGACGAACCAGTGTGGAAGGCGGCACTGGATCCAAGGTTTCCACGGAACCGCAGAATACGGCCGCGCCAGCGAAGGAAGATGAGTTTGACAACGTGGAGCCATACGCCCTGCCATCAATCAAAGAGCTCTTTCGCGTCCTCATTGATCTCCTTGATCCTCACGACAAAACACATACAGATGCAATGCGAATCATGGCCCTCAGAATCATTGACGTCGCCCTTGAGGTTTCGGGGCCTTCAATAGCGAAACAGCCTGTTTTGGCAGCACTGGTCCAGGACGATCTTTGCCGCCATTTATTCCAACTCGTTCGATCGGACAATATGGTCCTTCTGAACAGCTCTTTACGTGTCGCCGGGACATTACTGGCCACATGTCGACGGCTGCTTAAGCTGCAGCAAGAGCTGTTCCTTTCATACTTGGTGGCTTGTCTGCATCCCCGTGTAGACATCCCCCAGGAACCAGGCATTGATCCGTCGTTGTATGAGGGGGTACCTCAATCTCCCAAATTGGTGAAACCAGCACCGTCGCAGCCGAGCAGCGGTCGGTCAACCCCGGTGCCAATCAAAGACAGGCAGAAGCTGGGACTCGAAGGCGGTACTCGAAGGCCGGAGGCCAGAGAAGCGATGGTTGAAAGCATTGGCACCTTGGTCCGCATCCCTGGATTCATGGTGGAACTTTTTCTCAACTATGACTGCGAAGTCGACCGGCAGGACCTCTGCGAAGATATGGTGGGACTTTTATCGCGGAATGCCTTCCCGGATTCTGCCACTTGGAGCACTACCAATGTGCCTCCACTATGTCTGGATTCGTTGCTGAGCTTCATCCAATTCATGGCCGAGAGGCTTGTCCACGAAACGCCAGCATGGGCACGGGAGCGGATAGACAAGCTGCGTCTGCAACGAGCAAGGAAAAAGATCATCAAAAGTGGTGCATCCAAGTTCAACGACGATCCCAAAGCAGGTGTGGCATATCTGGTGAGGAACGGCATCATAGAGAATCCAGATGATCCCGTCCAGGTGGCTCAGTTTTTGAAAGGCACCTCTCACGTCTCCAAAAAAGTGCTGGGAGAGTTTATAACCAAGAAATCCAATGAACCGCTGCTGGTAGCATTCATCGGGCTGTTTGATTTTGAGGACAAACGCATTGATGAGGCTCTTCGGGAAGTATTGGGATCTTTCCGCCTTCCTGGGGAAGCGGCACTGATCGAACGAATCGTCAACAATTTTACCGAAAAGTACTGCAGAACCGTCTCACCCGAGGAGATCGCCGACAAGGATGCCGCCTTCGTCCTAGCCTATGCGATTATCATGCTGAACACCGATCTTTACAATCCCAACGTTGCGAAGACACAGAAGCGGATGTCGTACGAGGATTTTGCGAGAAACCTGCGGGGTGTCAACGCAGGAAAGGACTTTTCGCCGGAACTGCTGCAGGACATCTACGAAGCCATCAAGGAGAACGAGATCATTCTTCCCGACGAGCACGAGAACAAACATGCCTTTGAATATGCCTGGAAGGAGCTCTTGCTGAAGACACACAACGCCGGATCTCTGGAGCTCTGCGATACCAATGCCTTCGACGCAGAAATGTTCAAGGCAACTTGGAAACCGATCGTGGCAACTCTGTGCTATGTCTTCATGTCAGCCTCTGATGATGCCGTCTTCTCTCGAGTCGTGGTTGGTTTCGATCAATGCGCCCAGATCGCGGCCAAATACGGAGTCACCGAGGCCTTTGACCGCATTGTCTACAGCGTCAGTCACATCAGCGGATTAGCGGCAGAAATTCCTCCGAGCACTTCGTTGAATACGGAAGTTCAGGTTGGAAAGAAGAGAATCATGGTTAGTGAAATGGCCGTGAGGCTTGGAAGAGACTTTCGAGCCCAGTTAGCGACCGTATTGCTTTTCAGGATACTACAGGGTCATGAAGAAGCGGTGGGCGACACTTGGATTTACGTCGTGCGCATTCTAAGAAACCTGTTTGTCAACTCGCTCATCACGTTGCCAAAGTTCGAGCAAGATGGATTTGAAGACCTTGGTCCGATCCCTCTGCAACCACCGTCACAAGTCATCGACCGAGATGGCCGACTGAGCGATAGCGGCATCTTCTCGACGTTTACGTCGTACCTCTCAAGCTATGCCGCTGACGATCCACCGGAGCCTTCGGAGGAAGAGCTCGAGAATACCCTTTCATGTGTTGACTGTGTGAAGGCCTGCCGGCCAGACACTGTCCTGCAGCATATGGCATCACTTCCTGCTTCGCAAATCAAATCCATCGTGTCGGCTCTGCTGTCTCAGATGGAAGAAATGTCACCAGTCGTGACCGTCAAACCTGAACGGCCCATGCCCGTCACCGTCAGGGTCAACGGCCACCGCATGCCCAAAGCCGGGCCCGAGTACGATCCTGGCTCGGTGTTTCTCCTCGAACTTGCCACGCTGCTTACCCTGAGAGACGACAAAACCATCGCTGCAGCCGGAGAGCAACTCACAGGCGCCCTACAGAATGCGGTCAGAGATGCCTCAAATCTGCATCCTCTGGCTGCGTCGAGGGTTGTGCTTTACCTTCTTGAGTTATTGCGGTATAGCTACGTAAGTCTGACAGAGAAGTTCCTGTGAAGAAATCCTACTAACAAAAGGTTCTCATAGACCTACGACTTTATGCGTGCTCCTGTCGTTCTCCATGCCATATCAAGCTTCGACGACACTGTGCTTGACCGAACAGCGTCTACCATAATCCAGGGCTTCGCCAACGCCATTGGTACTTCGTCGGCCTTGCGCAACGAGATTACAAAATCTCCGGACTTTTGGTCGACGTTGCAGCGCCTCCATCAACACAAAACAGAGGCAGAGCGTGTGTTTGACATTCTAGCACGCCTTTCCACCCCTTCCCCAACAAAGTCACAAGATCAGCAAGCTTTGACGGCAGATAACTTCGAATCCGCCATCTCCCTCGCAAACGACATTGCATCCGCCGGCTCGATCGGATCCATTCAAGAAAAACGCCGTGACTTTGCCGCGAAACATGGCCGGCAAGCCAAGCCTGCGAAACCCGAAGACATTGTGGTTGTTCAGCGGGCCACCAAGGCCGTGGGGCTGATCTATCAGTTGTCCGATCGTGTCCCGGGTCTCATTGATCAAAGCCATCTGGAGAGGAATGAAGCTTGGGCTGCATATTGGAGTCCGATCTTCCGAGCCCTATGTGCGCAGTGTGTCAACCCCTGTCGTGAAGTCAGACATCGTGCGTTGTCAGCCCTGCAACGC